ACCTTACACACGTTGTTCTTGGAAGCCACAATCTCAACGACCATCATGAAAAAATAGAGATTAAAAAATCCATCAAGTTTGAAAATTATAGAAATGTTCAATATGGTGATGACATCATGCTCCTTAAAGTATGTACATATTCATAGTTGTAACAGTTTCACATGAATTATAAGACCCTATATTTGTGGCGTTATAATTCAAATTTCATCACAGCAAAAGGGTTACTGTATGAAAACAGACATTTCAAATTTTCATTTCATGTTGTGTGTCTTCAGTTATCTAGGAAAGTTCAGCTAGACCGCACAGCAAGGATAATTCAGCTTCCACATGCTGAAATAAAACTACAAGAAAATGAAGTGTGCCAGGTGGCTGGATGGGGTTTCACTGAAAATTACACTCTACCTAATGAGCTGAGAGTGGTGAACGTTCTTGTCATTCAACATCAAATCTGTAAGGAAAACTGGCCTGATCTTCCTAACAAAGTTATCTGTGCAGGTGGCTATAGAACAAATAAAGGATTCTGTCAGGTATGTTTTCTGTCTCTTCAATATATACTAATTAGATTTTGCAAAATATATAAAACACTTAATATAAACTGACAAAATTAAAATATGTCCTCCTCACAGAGAGATTCCGGTGGTCCTCTGGTCTGCAATGGGTTCGCAGTTGGTGTTGTTTCTTTCAACAAAAATTTAAACTGCAAATACCCAGATGTACCCAATGTCTATACGGACATCTCAAAATACCGTCAATGGATCGACAAGATTCTCAGAGGTGTAATTTAAGCATTCCTGATTGCTCTGTCGATGTAACCAAAAGTGAAAATTAAAAAGATTCTGCTACTTCGCTCTGTCAAGCTGACCTAATTGAATTCAAAGCTCCTTATCACTTTATTCTGTCACCATGGATTCTTTCAATTACAGCAAGTGTTGATGTTCAAGTTATCTTTTATTACAATGTTCTAAATGTATTTTATGACCATGGGATGTAGATAACTTGTAACTTTATATGTTTCTGTGCTTGTAATTCTGCTGGCGTGCTGTCTGTACTGTTGTTTGACCCCCAAAGTTAAATAAGCAAATGAAAACAGCATGGTTGTGTGCACCTCATTTTATTTCAGATTTCCACAACAAACTTGGTGTCAAAAATAGAATCCCATGCCTGTTTGTATTCAGGGTCTATAGGAGACTTGAGCATGCTAGATAAAATTAGACAATTGTGAGCATGGCTAACACATCTGGTAAAGAAACCCCCAGTGAACAGGAAGCTTTCATGTTTACGAATGGGGTTTATGGGAAAAATATGGAAATTGAGCTATCAGCGTTTGGGTAAAACATTTCCACAAAGAGGAACATTGAGCTTGATGCAGCTAATAGATCATAAATCATAAAGTAAAAGAAAAAAAGCCAAGAAATAATTAAAAGAGTAATAAATAAACAAAAGTGTAATCACAAGTTGTGAAACACAAAAAGGGGAAATGACACCTGATTTAATTTTTTTCACTATCAATTGGGAAGCACTCAAGTACTCCTGTTAATTCCAGTGCTCCTCCTACATCTGAATAATTCCCTGAAGGTGTACAAACGAGTATTAGGGCCACAATAAGAAAAAATAATTGAGAAAAAAGTTGAAATAGTATTTCAAGAAAAAAGTTTAAATGTGGAGACTACAGATTACAAACTGCCATGGTTGCTATATCCTCTGAGTGAAATTGTACTTCAGAATCGGTTTTGGTAACAGGAAGGAAATGATTTCTCTATTAGCATGTAAACACAATGTGGTGATCAGTATAAGAACATTGATAAGATGGTGCAGAAAACTGCATCTGGATGGAAAAACACACAATTGTTGAAGAATGAATTTGCACACAAGAAAATGGCTTGTAATGGACAGACAGAAAGGTTATCGATAGTTACATCTATAAATGCAAGGGGATGTATGCTGTATGACAAAACGGCTGATCAATTTGTTTCAATAACTCGCCTAAACAAGGCATTTTATAGAGGGTATAGCAGCCGTAGCAGTATGTCTTTGGACAACAAGGGTAATCCTCACATTTCAACCTTTTTTTTCGAAATACATTTTTGACTCTAATCTCAAAATTCTGACTTTATTCTCAAAATAATCAAAGGCATTTTTTCTTAATGTTGTTCTAATATCTAGTGAAAATGTGCATAGTAATGAGGCCTAAACAACACAGACTGTATCTATATAACATAGAGACCATCTATGCTCACAGTCATCCTCTCTGAATTCAAACCTCCAAGCTTTGCATCCAGACCTCAGTCATTTGCACACTCATGTGTCATCTGATTGCAGTCAACATGTCAAGATATTTATCAGGTAAAAAAAAAAAAACTAAAGATTTCTTCCCATTTGTGTAAACCTATGGCTCTCCAAAAATTACTTTTCACTGACTTGCTGTATGAATCTTTCCTCTGAGTCTAAAATAATATCTTTCCAATCAAATGTTTGCATTTCCAATACGTCTATACAAGGAAGATTAAAATCACTTTCACCTCTCCCCACTGCATTCTCAAAATGGCTTCTGGCTAGTGTCTGTCTTATTATATTGAAATTGCAAATCTTTTCATACAATTTCCAGAAAACCATCCCACTTTCCAAAGTGAAAACTCTTTTTATAAGTATGCAGTTCACAGAATTGATGAAGCCATGTAAGAACTATGTCTTTGCTACCTGGTTTGGGACTGTGAGCTGCTGATTCGATTTCAATTCAATTTCATTTAAGCAGCACCAAACAACAACAACAGTTGCCTCAAGGCGCTTTATTGTAGTTTTTTGTTTTTTTTTGTTTAAATGGCACTGTAAAAAATATTCCCAGGATCAATATTTATTGATTCTGATTGATAGACCCTACAATAATGCATGAGGGCCAGCCATCTGCCGTGACCTTGGGGTGAAGGGAGGAAGACAGGATGAAAGACATGCTGTGGAAGAGGGACACAGATTGATAACAAGTGTGATTCAATGCAGAGAGGTCTATTAATACATAGTGAGTGAGAAAGGTGACTGAAGAAGAAATACTCATGCATCATGGGAATTCCCCAGCAGCCTACACCTATTGCAGCATAGCTAAGGGAGGATTCAGGGTCACCCCTGAATCCTCAAATGGACTGATTACACTCTTATGTTCGAACTTGCTTTTCCACATGGCTAGACTGTGGCTTGCACAGAAGTCTAAAAACAAAACACTGCTCAGATCAGATCCGGGAGGCCATTCCTGCCGATCACACCCCTCCAGGTCTCACTGTCATTGCCCACATGAGCATTGATGTCTGCCAGCAGGACAACAGAGTCCCCAGGTGGATCACCCTCCAGCACGCCACACAGGGACTCCAAGAAGGCTGGGTACTCTGGACCTCCATTCAGTGCACAAGCGCAGATGACAGTCAGGGCCTGTTCCCCAACCTGAAGGCCCAGGGAACAAACCCTCTCGTCCACTGGGAGAAACCCCAACGTACAGGCAGCAAGCCGAGGGGATAATAGGATACCCACCCCAGCCCGCCGCCTTTCACCAGGGGCAACTCCAGACTGAGACAGAGTCCACCCTCTATCCAGGAGACTGGCTAGAGAGCCCAAGCCGTGGTTTGAGGTGAGTGCTCTCTGTTTCAGGAAATAACTGCCATCCTTAATCAACACAGGATTTTTTGAACTGTCAGGTTTGCAGACAACATGGCACATATGAGGAATGGGAATTCTTCATGTGTGCAGGAAATTTAGGGAACACTTATAGTTGATGTCTTAATTATGCAAATAGCTACTATGAAGTTGATGCTTCCTGTTCTGTCAGACAGAAAACAACTATTTGTATCAAGTTACATCACATTGTCTGAAATAAAATCATTATAATAAAGTTAAATACGTATATTTTTAGATAAAATCTTTAAGTATAATATATAAGATAATATTTCGAAGTCACAAAGGTAAAACTCTTTAAAATGTCATACCAAATGTAGGTCAAATGAATAAACTATAGATCTAAAAAAGAAAAATACATTTGTTCAATGTTCTCTAGGAAAAAATGAGGATCCTTTTTGTCGCTGGACTTTCACAACCAGAGAACCGGCCTGAAGAAACCTGTTACGAAGCTTTTAAAAGTCAGCATTTTCCAAGTTTTAGAAATGTTATCAGTGAGTATTTACTGAAGCTGTCTCCACTGATTGAGCAGCAGCGCCCTCTGCGGTTTGTGTGTAGAAGCGAAAAAGCTTACAGCACCTGGTATTCCCAGGCGGTCTCCCATCCAAGTACTGACCAGGCCCGACCCTGCTTAGCTTCCGAGATCAGACGAGATCGGGCGTGTTCAGGGTGGTATGGCCGTAAGCGACGGAGACACTATATAAAAGACCTTTAATAGGTGGCAAATACACAGTTCAATAAACGTTATTGTGATACATTTCATATGTTACAGCGAAAAGATGCAAACCTTCGTTATTAACTGTAGCTTCAACATTGATCTGCGAAAAAATGCTTTTCCTGCAGTAACATTTGGATAATAACACATGTTAGTTTATTAATTACAGCACAGTACAAGTGATAGAATGCATTTAAAGCATCATGTCAGCAACAGTCCTACCTTTGCTTCGTATGGTTCAGTTTCCCAGTAATGTCCCTTAAAAATGCAAGGTCAAGTGTCCACTCATGATGGGAGTCATGACGTGCCCAAAGCCGATCACCTTTGCACATAACGTCTGCTGGTGAATGATGCAGTGGTAATGCATAAAGTTTGGGAACTCTGTGTCACCTTTACAGTGAGCGATGAATCCTGTATGTCTGACGATCATAGCAGGAGCTCCGTCGGTAGTCAGCGATACCAGCTTTTCCAAAGGTACCTTTTTCTCCGCGAAAAACTCCTTCACCGTGTTAAAGATGTCAACTCCACTCCTAGTTGTCTTTAGCGGCAGTAGTGTCAGAAGTTCTTCTGATTTTCCTCCCACCAAGTTTCCGGGTGCCAGTGTGTGGCCGTTACTAAGCAACCGCGAGTTAGCAGCAGCAAACCAGAGATAGAGGAAGAAAGCTACCAAAATCAAGCCTCTGAATTTAAGATGTTATTCTGTATCTCTGGATAATTATTCAGATTTCTGGCTCTGCTTCTTCACTGTTGCTTAATTTCGGTTTACCAGCGATAAGCAAGGCAACAAAACGATGTCAACACAAGAGCAACAAGCTAACATCGGCAAAGTTCTCAGCTTTCTTCGGGAATGGGACCGCGGTGACATGAGGGTCCGCGGTCGCATGTTGAGCACCTTTGTGACTCAAAACACGGGGAAGACGTTTTATGAGCTGGAGCTGGAGTTTGCGCAGGTCGCCAGTCTCTTCCTAGCTCGACTTACCACATGGATGAAGCTCACGTATCCTTTATTCAGCCGTGGTCTAGGAAAACTGTTAGTTTTGGACATATATTTTTTGTACAGCTCAAAAAACGTGTCCTGGGTGGGGTGTAAATATTTCCAAATAGTAGTGGGATTCGTGTTTCCTTGCGTAAGTCCTGCAGGATTTATTTTGAAGACTTAAATGAGGCTTAATTTAAGTCTACTGCTGGTTAAACCTGCACGGGTTTGGGACTATCTTGATTTTGAGGGGCCTGCATAACATGTGAAAACAACACATTTAAATCATAAAACATATTTTTTGTTATACACATACAGCCAAATGGTGCTGAATATATTCTAGCATAAAATATCAGAATAAAGTTTTCAGAATGTGCCTGCAACTGGACAACCCTTTACTAATACTTCAGTTACATGTTAGGCACCTTCCTGGGACTTCAGCTGAAAGCACTTGGGATTTTCCTGTCTGCTTCTTGTCAGTAAGTGACCCAAAATGCGGGACTGTAATCTGCAAAAATATCTTTAGGCCAACAGATGTTTTCTTTCAATAAACCATCTTTCTGATTTGATCAGTGATCAGTATCTGATGAACTTCCTGGAGGATGGGGGAGCTCTCACTCTGCTGGACATTTTGAGCCACTCTCAGAGCAAAGATGATGACAAGGCCGGAGCCATCAAACTTCTACTCACTGTCTCAAAAGCAGGTCGCAAGTACAAGGAGATCATCTGTGAAAGTCACGGTAAATTTCACATTTGTCTGTGGCATATGTAAATTTATTTTAGATTTTAAATCAGATTTTAAAACAGCCTACAATATAGTTTATTTTATCAGTAATGCTTCTTTTGCTTTGTTTCCAGGTGTTAAAGTCATAGGCGAGTGCCTGTTCACATCAAACAGAGATGAAACCAAAGAGGCAGCGTCGGTCCTTTTGGAGTCCCTGTCCCACGGAAATCCCAGATATCAGGACCAAGTCTACAAATATCTGATTACCTGCATGACTTGTAGCTCACCTAAATCCCTGCAGCTTATTCTGCACACCTTATGTATCATCCAGGTGAAGCCAGCCATCTGTCAGTGTGCCCCAGAATGGCTGTGGCTACAATGTAGCTTGCCATCACCAGTGTGTGAATGTGTGTGTGAATGGGTGGATGACTGGTTGTGTAAAGCGCTTTGGAGTCCTTAGGGACTAGTAAAGTGCTATACAAATACAGGCCATTTTACAGAGTATGCACAAAGCTGTATGTTACTGCAGTCAGTCTGTATGTTGCAGAACTGATTTTTAACATTTTTTCTTTTGCAGCGAAAAATGAAAACAGCCCATTACAGCATTGTAGAGCCTCTGCTTAACACACTCAGATCCCTACACCTGGAAGTTCAGGATGAAGGTAAGCTGACACGCTAATTTTTAAATTTATCCTGAAATTTCTTTGTATCCTGTGAAATAACAAATCATTCCATTAGCCATTGTGATTGTGGATGAAAAATTGCGATCCTGTTATTATTAATCAGCTTTTCTGGTTTTGTCTCTTTATATCTTTGACAGCCATTAAACTCATCTTAGACCTGAAGCATTATGATGTGAAGGCAGTTCTACTGACTGGTTTGGTGGCTCTACTGAGGCCTATTAAAGAAAAAGAACACCAGCATCAAATCAGCAAAGGTGACATTAGAGTTTGGTTGTGCGCTGTGAAAGCCTTTAATATACACCTCTTTCTTTTGACCAATTATGGCCGCCTTTTCATATTTTAATTGGTGCCTTTCTGCAGTTTGTGATACAGTTACACAACCCATCAGTGAATGTGTTATAATTTTGTAAATGAGCCCTAACTTGTCACAGTCATTTTCATAAAATGTTTTATTGACAACCTTATACAATCTTGTCAGAATCAGAGATGACTGAGATGACTGGATCTTTCCCTGTACTTGTACAGCAAGCTGCTGCAGCTAAAACAATACGGTATGGAGTCCAAATAACCTCCTCAATCACAGTATAACACAAACTCAGTTAAACTTCTGGGATATCTCTCTGTCCAGTTAGCAAACAGAACATAATGTGAATTGTTCAAAACCATGATGGCTTTGCAGGTGGTTGCCAAAGACCATTGCTATCATGCCGTGCTCATGGAGCGTCATGTGGATGTTATGACCAAACCTTTAGAAACAAATCACACACTCATTTACATACATACATACTTATATCTTCTCTAACATTTGCATTACACACCCACAGAAACTCAATGAGGACAGTATAAACAAAAATCCTGAGTTGTTCACGATAGATGCAAGGGGAACAACTCAAGGTTTGGTATCTTGCCCAAGGATACTTTGACTGTAGTAGCCAGGTGCTCAAACCATTAACCTTTGAATTAGTAGACAACCTGCTCTACCTCCTAAACCCCAGCTGCAGTGACAAAGTCATAAGCTAAAAGAAAAACTAGAGAAAAATCTGTCAGGAGGGATAAGAAGAGAACAATGGTTTATAGTCACCACCTGCAAAACTATTTCCTTTTTGGCAGGTGTCGTGTTGTTGCCTTGTTACCACTTTCTTTGGTAGCAAAAAGGGTGATTTAGAGTGACAGTGGTTTATACTTCTCAGTAAATAGATTGAGATGCATGAAGCTAAACTGACTTTTTAGGCCATGGTTTGATAAAACCATGACATAACATTTTATTCATGGCAGTGTGATAGCTTTATATGTTGTAATAAAGTAGCTATCTTTAGCTGCTCCCATGTCACAAGGGTTCACAATAGCCAGTAGCTCCCCATGTTTGATTTGGCAGTTTTATGCCCGATGTCCTTTCTGCATTTTAATGATGTTCAATATTTGTTAAAGGCTGCTGGCTGAGGAAGATCAAGAGCTTTCTCGTGAGCTGCTCTCTCTTGGAGTGATCCAGCATCTTCTGCACACTATGGGCAACAGAGAACATCCTGATGGCCAAATACAAGCCAGTCTAACATTAGAGGTACTTCAGTGTGTGTGTGTCTTCTCAAAAAAGCAGGCTGATGACACCTATGATGATTTCTCACAACCATTTGGTACAAATAAAAAAAAAATACTATAAAGCGCTTCAGCCTTCTATTTTAAGACTTCACTTTTTTTTTGTTCTTTACTTTTTCTTTTCAGCAGAATAGGACATATTCACAGTTGTAACCCAACTGCTTTTTGAGAGCTTCATTACCTCATGCTTGAATGTGGTCCTGTCAGCAATCTACTAATGCATGTCTACAAAGCAGGACAGTTAAAGTCATTATGTCTTGCCCAATTTTCAACTGTTTTTAGATGGTTTGAGTTTCTGTTACTGTTCTGATAGAATTTTCTGATTACTTATGGGTTTTCTTATCACTGCTTCTTGGTCCCCACTGCCTCCACCCTCTTTAAGAAAAATGTGTAAGCAGTAATTTGCAATTATTGTGTTCCAGTTTTTTTTCTTTTGCATTAAATTAGAACCAGAAAGTGCCAGCCTTATAATTAAGTGGAAACAGAGGCTGCTTTTCTTGAAGTTGGGCTGTTTGTAAAAATGTGTTTGGTTCATCTCCGTTTCTCATTTGTTTTGGTTTTGCATCTGTAGAAAGAAACATTAATTCAGACATATGAATATCAGCTTCTGGTGTCTGCTTTCATCTCTGTGTAGTACTTTGTCGTCTCCTTCCCTGTTGTTGAGGACCAAGTGCAGAGAGTGATGGGCAGCGCTCTGTTTGCAGAGTTCAAAGTAAGCGATAACCTAAGTTAAAGGTGCATTGCTCCAAGTCAGTACCAACAAATATAATCACAATCTTTCTACAGAACAAAGCTGACACTGTATACATGAACATGAATGAAACAGAAGCAGAAATGCTGCTAACAAATCAGATTAACATGTCACAAGGTAATGATTTTACTGTTTTATTTGACAGCTGATTATTTTCCTATATTTCCTGTACTATGTGAAACTAATTGTATTCTTTTTCTTTTTTCAGTTTTAAATGGTAACAAGTCTGACAGCTGACCAGAGGAAAAATCGTTTCATAAACGGATATAAATAAGGTTTTTAGAAATGTTTGTATTAATACCTATAACCTGTTCTACCATTTGTTTTTGTATTAAGAAAAAATATTCTATCTATCACTAGAAAAATGGGAAGTTCAGTCATTTATATTAATATAGCGAGAAATGGCTCGGACAATGGGAGCTCTGTCATAGTTTTGGGGCTTCTTCTCAAATAAATACAAATAAATAAATAAATTTGCAATTTATATGTGTTTGAGGTGTGTGCGCACACACACACACACGCGTGTGTATACTCGCTTGAGTCAAATTTGAGGTCGCACTTTTTAACTCCCACCCTTTGGGGACACCGGTTTCTGTTTGGTTTAGAAGCAGGCTGACAACTGAATTTTACACCTCCAAATCCACAGAAATAAAATAAATCACTTGAGATTTTCATTTCATTAAGCAATATTTCTTCATACAGTATTTTTACCTTCCTATTGGGGACTGGGAATGTTTAATGTCCCATTTGGTGTCTTCAGTGATAAACCAACACAGATAAACCATTTTGTGCCACTTTTGAGGACCGTACTTCCCTTTGGGGTCTTAAGCAATACACAGATACACTAACTATTTTACTTCAGTTTGGGGGATATTACTTCCCTAAAGGCAAGTCCTTCAAAGTAAGTACAATAAAATGTAAGGTTACAATTTAACTACCCAATCTAAAAATAATCATTTTGCAATTAAGTATGTTAATTTGACAACATCCAAGGGATTTGAAAGAACTTAAAATATAGGTGTCTGTGAAGATTCTCAGTCATCCAAAGAAAAGCGTCTGGACTTCTTTGAGTTGCTTGAAGACGTTTCACCTTTCATCCGAGAAGCTTCTTCAGTTCTAAGGGTCAAATGGTGGAGAGTCATTGTGAAACCTGGCCCCACCCTATCATGTGATTTCCTGAGGTCAGACGGCCCAGGATGTGAGCGTTAAGGCGTCTGGGAAGGGATCTCAAAACTGGATTATAGATGGCAGACAGTTGGTGTTGTAAACCAACGCACACACACACACACACATGCAGACGCACGAAACACCTACACTGATACGCCCTCACTATCACCCTCCCTACCCCGGATCCAACGCCTCCTCCCATGCTTACCTCCCATCCGATGTGGACACCAGATCAGCTGGAGGCGCAATCGAAGATTGCAGCAGTGATGTTTGTCTATTGTATGTACGGTTGGCAAGGTCTGTCATCTCGGTTGTGGGCAACTGCAACTGACAAATAAAGGCTATCTCATCATCATCATCATCTTTGATGTTTGATTGAGTCCAGCATCGAGTTTCCACACTGTGTAATAAACACTGGATTTCCTGCACGTTTCAGTAGTTGTTCTGAAGAGGTGAAAATTTCCATGTGTTGTTCAAAGACAGGAAAGCTGTTTTGTCTTGTTTCTTGTGCAATATTAAACACAAGATTTGCCCGAGCTCATATTTCATTACACATTAAACTCATGACCAATGTCCTGTGGTGATCAAATGAAAGTTAAGGCTGCTAGTGTCAGGGTTGGTTGATGGAGGACCCAAATGCAGAACGTTCTAAACACAGAAAGTGTGTTTATTTACAAAAAGCTATGAAACAGTGCCAACAATCCACAGTGTGTTCCCAATTCCCAGGCCTTGATTCCTTTCCTTGATATGTGGTAAAGTTTTGTCCTCCTTGGTGCCTATGTACACAGTGTGCTGCTCCCGTCACATGTTTCTACATTTAACCTAGAAACGAGAGATGCCACATTTAGTACAGTCCTATCCACCGTCCACTACTCTCTTAAGTAGGGCTCCTTGATAGACACACACACAAACACACACACACTCACTCCAACTTTTACACAGGGAAGCGAGGGAACAGGAGCAGATCACACCAACAAACAACCATAAGCATTCCAGAAGACAAATGAAACTAATAATTATTCATCAAACCCCAAAATAACAGACCCAGGCCCATGACAGTTCGAAATCTTAGCATACAGTGTTTATATGATGCATACTGTTATTTTAATATCTATTGTAAACTAGGGCAATGAGAACTTTTTTCCTTATCTGCTGCAGTGGCTGATTAAGAAGCGTGGGACAATACTATCAACTACTGCCTGAGATTGAGATAATTACTTTACAGCATGGCTGGGATGACAGATTGCACTGGATACTGTGAGGATTTCAGTCCCATTTGTTGAACTACTTCTTGAAAACAATAATTAACTAATGTGGTTTCAACTGTAAGAAAGGCCTCTCCAGATGTTGTCCTGGTGGTGGAAGAGGCCAAGGAACTCTTCTGGGAATCGATCAAAGAGTGCAGGGAGATTTCTAAATACCAAGTATGCATATTGAGAAACAGCCAAGCGTAGCCAACGCCTGTTGCTTTGGCGTGGTTTAAACAATGCCTAAGATAAAATGTTATAATAATAATAATAATAATAATAATAATAATAATAATAATAATAATAATAATAATAATAATAATAACTTTTTATTTTATTATCATTTAAAATATTTAGGAGCTTTAGTAAGAGTATAATCGAGCACATTTCATTTAGTTTTCCTGGGAAGGCCAACTAATTTGATTTGTAAGTTTCAGACTTAATAACTGGGACCACTTTAGTTTTACTTTGTAAAGCACGTGGACACAACTTTTTTAAAAAAGTACGAGTCGTTTTCGTATTTATGTACAAACAATTAAATAAGGTACTGAATTACAGTTTGAACATTTCGGTAGCCTATCCTTTTTAAATTAAAAGGCCTCGATGCTTCACAATGCTTCTGTTAGACATCTGGAGAAACGTCTTGTGTGTTAGCCACAGAGTTTTCCACTGGTTACGTACTACAGCGGGGACTGTATTAACAAGGACTGAGGACTGTGTTATTGGCCATATTATTTCAGTAGGATAAATGATGTATGGGTCCCCTCTAGTGTCCAAGAAACATATTACTCGTATAGATGACCAAAATTTTCTTTGAAACTGTGCATGCGGAAAGAGGAAAAATAATAACAATACCACTGATGTGAAAATATATTTAAAATATTTATTTGAATAAAAGTTAAGATCTCTACTTGTTTGTGAAACCACCCAACGCACCGGACAGTGCACTAAAGATGTGAAGAAGAGCGTGCAGATAGGGTGGAGTGGGTTTAGACGAGGATAGCAGCAAGAGAGAAAAAGTCTCACAAGTGAGACCTGCGATGATGTTTGGTTTGGAGACTGTGGCACTAACAGAAAGACTGGAGGCGGAGCTGGAGGTGACAGTATGAAGGTACCAGGCAGGAGCTAAAGAGGGAAACCTGGGATTGCAGTAGGAGATTCATGGATGCAGTGAAGGAGGATTGCTGTGACAGAGGATGCTAGGGATAGGGTGAGATAATCCGCTGTGGCGAAACCCTAAAGGGAGAAGGTTTGCTCATGAAAGAGCCTCACATCGGTGGCTTGGTTTAATCTGTTTCAAAAAGCATATCATGAACCAGACAGCAGGCGGAGTTGCTGACCTGGAGGAGGAGCCTGTTACTGCATGGGCTGGCTGTGTGAACTCTTCACCTATGTCACATTTACAAGACTGGTCTATAAAATCTAAATGACCTTACAACTCTGTAATAACACTTGGACAAAGTCATATAATTTCTGATGTCGTGTTACTCCTAAAGCTTAGGCATGTGGAAGCCCTGGCTAATAGAATATTAAATATGTATGACTTCAGTCTGTAGATATGTGCATAGTAAACATATTTATAGTGGTACAGTTATTAAGGAGAGAAGCGCTGATTTCATGCAGCTACATGAAAGTTAACCTCCCTTTATCGCGTTTGGGGTTTTTTACGACAATCTGCGACAAAATCTCCGGTTTACGTCAGCCGTAAAGCTGACAATAGTGATATGAGATAACTGAACACTGTAACGTTACTTTACAGCATTTTGTCTATTTGAAGCAGTTAAAAATCAAAGAAAGTTCAGCATTTCCCAATTTGACAGCTCGTTCACTCGCCGCCACGCCTAAGCAAACAGTTTTACCAGCACTCAGCGTCCCTGTGTGAGTACAGAAAGCAGCGAGAGCCAGTGGAACAAGAACTGCTTTTAGCCAGTCATTGCCATGGCCTCCGAAAGCGGCGATAGCAACATGGATAGAGAAATGATTCTGGCCGATTTTCAGGTGAGTGTCATTTTTTCTTAGCCCCTCATATTGTACGAGGTGGGCATTAATGTGCCCGTTGTTGTTGAAACGCCTCGGACTGGCGTGGTAAACAGCAGACCTGAGCTGGTGTTTCTGTGGTTAGCACGCTGTGCTAACACACTGACAACTTGCTACCTGATTATGAAGAAGCCTGTTATCTGTGTGACCAATAACTACATAACAGAAAAGATGACCCAGACAGATGACAACAGTCATCTAATCTTTTGAATCGTTTACATATAACGATCCAACTACTACTGAGAGGGAATTTTCGGGGCTAGCCGCTGCTGTCAGCTTGTTTACACATTGTTTTGCCAGCGTTTCAAATCCTTATCAGAAACTGTGTCATCCATAAAGACTCTAAATGTTAAGCCCAGTTTGCCGTGAACATTGCGATAATGGCGATAAACCTTTGCAAACTGGCAGTAATTTATGATTCTGTTTATCTGACGGTCTTTACTAGAACAGCATATAATCGTCATCTTCTGTTTGTGTTTAGCTAACTGTACGCAAGCTCCCCGGTGAAGAGCTTGTTACTGTAGTTTTGTTTGCAAGTTTACTTTAGTATACTGTTAGGGAAGTAAGTGATTTTTATTTTTATAGCTCTTTTCGAGACAAAGGACCGTCAAAAAGTGCTTTAAAAAGGTGAATGGGTAAAAACTAGCCCGCACTATTCGCAAAGTTGACACACATTAACCAAGCAAAACAACCCAAAATCACAACCACTACTTAAATACTTATCTAAACAATTTAGTTGTTTTTTCTAAACAGTGGTAACCTCTTCCATATTTTGGAGCTAAGGTTTGGAGGCAGAATTCCCTTTTGTTTTCAAATGGGTATGCAGAATCAAAAGAAGGCCCCAATATGAGGACCTGAGGGATGCAGTGGGCCATAAAAGTCAGAACCAAGATTTGAAACCGAAATCTAAACCTGGTAGGAAGGCAATGCAAAACCCTTAAAAGTGGGGTGAAATGTAAGAACTTAAAAGAATGAGAATAAAAGCAATCCAAGCAAGAGGAGGCAAAGTCTTAAACAAGCATCACCAATTGACTTTTAGAGTTTAGTAATATTTCTCAAATGGAAAACAAAACAAAACACCAGCATATCAGAGACTTAATGTGAGCATTAAATGTCAAAGACTGAAAAGCAGACAAAATATCCCATGATTTAGCATGTCAGGTTTTAGATTGGATAAAGGGACCCCAGTTCCTGTCTGATTTGGCAGTAATGCTCTGAGGAGCAATAATTAGATGTGCTGTCTTTGTCTGCATTTAACTGTAAAAAATTATTCAACCAGATCCAGTTCACAAGGTTTAAAAGAGAGGGAGACTATACAATGAAAGCACCAGAGGACTTAAACCAGATCGTTGTACGAAGCTGGATGATGAGAGCAGATCTGAGCAAACATCTTGCCCACTGAAACCAAAAGCATTCTATCAGCAACATATGAAGTAAACTAATCCAAGACAGGGCTTTGACTTGTGAATCAAGATCAGTGGTATCAAAGGCTGGGCTAAAGTCCAGGTTATGTCTAGCCAGCATGATAATATACTTTATATACACACACAACTAGTTTGCTTTGGATTTTATTCTTGATATGTAGTACTGGGCTGTTGGTTTCAATACCGCATCGCACTTTGTTCTGAATTAATTTCTTGCTGTTAACACCAAATTTTCCTGGTATCAGCAGACAGCAGGGACATGCCAGTGTTACTTTGCTTTTTTGTAGATACTTGAAGAGCGCTTCATCATCAAGTAAAAACTTTATGAATTCTATAGAGGGTCATTTTAAATAGGCATAAAATGTTCCTTAATGTTGGCATAAATATTGTTTTAAGTATTAACTGCTCCTATTATAAAGAAAATAGACATTTCTTACACATGTCTAATAGGTTGAAATGTCATGCTGGTTTAAAGACCAAAAGACCAAAATGCTCAGTACATGTTTTACTGTTTTACTATCTGAGTCTGTTTCTATTTATTTATTAAGGTTTTACATTTAAACTAGACCTACTAATTTATTTCAATGGTACTGACATTAAAGCCCATGTTTGTTGTCATGCTGAATATGTATTACTGAGATTCTGAGAAACTGGCAACCTTGTTTTGATCAAGACATCACTGAATGTTCATAATCGTTCTTAAGACTGTTACCATTTCACGTTGCTTTTATGGGTAATAGAGTAGTAGTTAAACTGTAACTGTTATTGTTCTTTTCACAATTAGAATTTGATCTTATACGATGCATTAGTCTGCTGAATTCATTTTTTGTTTTGCTTTCCCCTCACAGGCTTGCACTGGAATTGACAACATTGCAGAGGCAATCACTCTGTTAGAGCTTAATAACTGGGATTTAGTGGTAAGTTCATTATCTGCAGGCTCTATTGGGCTTTACTCTTGGACACACGGACTTAGTCTGTCTACAGGGCAGGTTCAAGAGGGCAGTTAACATCCAGTAGCGCACACTGTGTAACGGGCAAATTATTTCCTCATGTAATCCCGTCAGGTTTGTATTAATTCATGATGCACCTCTCAGCATGAAGTGCATATTGGAAGAGGTCAGTCTATATTTAGATAGATGCTGGCAGGAGCTCAAAGCAGGCAGCGAGATAGACAGTGGGGGCTGGACTCACTGCGGCTGTAAATCTGATGGCTCGCAGTTCTTCTGCAGTAGGTGTTAGTTTTTGTAAAAACAAATGTGTTTGCTAAGTGTGAGTGTGGAGTTTCACCCCAATACCTTAGTACTGCATCTGCCAGCAAGTTGGAGTTTGTGGTGTGAAATATTGCCATTGCTCTTATGTGCTTACTGTCCATTTTATTTTATTTTTAAATTTACAGTAATAAAAGCAGACGTGATTTTTTATTTTTTAGGAAGGGTGACCCATTTGCAGCTGTTTTTAGTGTTAGGAAAGATAAAATAAATGGATCATTACAATGCTGCTAAACTTTTTATAGCCTGAGCATGTTTGTATTGAGTAAGAATGCACTGTTGCTTTTAAAAGTCTTCTTTTTTTTTTTTTTTACTTATCAACGCACCTAAAGCTACCTGCAATGCCAGGATCTGACACTTAACTATCAGTGATTCATTTTATTATTTCTTCGAGCTTCTTCCCACTGTGACATTTTAAAATGTGACAGAAACTGTTTAAACACAAATTAATAGCTCAGAAAAGAGAAACAAAGTTGTGACTTTAAGTTGAAACCGAAGCCGGTGGAAGCTTCAGTCAAGAGACAAAGAGTCGTGTTCATAAGTGCTGAGGTTATGTTTGTTCGTGATAACTGCCCACCGAGTTTCTGGCAGTTCACCAGCCAGTAATGTGTGGCATTTGATAAACGGCAAAGACAGTTATAAGACCTAAAGATAATGACTGTATACTCCAATGAAGGCCAACTATAGCATGTTTGATGATGGGGCTGGGTGTTTTTTTGCCATTATTTCACAGTTCCTTATACCTTTTCTTTGCAAGAAAATTCTAGTATTGCTTTTCATACAAACAATGAATAGTGGATATGATTATAACAGCGCTTACCAGCTTTACTTTGCCTGTTTGGCAGTGTAGAATAGTGAGTGTTCGAGAGGAATCCAAACAATTGTCGATTCAAACAAAAGCAAACTGCAAAGCAGACAGTGGCTATATTTGGCCTTTCATTTCCCTTTGTTCTGATCTTTCACTCTCCTTCAGTGTTTTTTCTTCTTTTAAGTAACAGAATTTGTAAACTTTCAGAACGCACAGGTCGGACTCTACCTGTCAGCCTGACAGAGTTTGCAAGTCAGTCCGTATAAAATGTGTAAATTTTATTGAAAGATATTTAATTTTTCATATATATACATATATATGAAAATAGACCTAAGACCATAGAGGCCTAAATGAAGTTTGTTTGCCAAAAGTAGTTTATTACAGTAATTACAGTTAAAACCTGTTTGGTGATCCATGCTGCATCTGCCAGCCTCTTTGAAATTAGTTCAGTTTACGTTGGTTGCATATTTTGTCATGGTGTTATTTGGTGTTTGAAGGCAAAAGGACAACAACTGAAATTTTGACTTCTGCATTTATTACAGGCAGCCATCAATGGGGTCATACCACAGGAAAACGGGATCTTACAAAGGTAATAACCACATTCTCAAAAATCTGCTCTAAATAAGAGAAAACGTACCAGCTCACCTTTTAATTCCAAGGGAATGCTGCATAAGTTCAGAACACTTTTGTATTTTTGTCAAACCGTAATGACCAAGTTAAAGGTTAGACGTAATCACAGGCAGATGTGCAAACACATAAATGAGTTTGGGGATTCCCAAAAAACTCTCAGTGAAATATGTGCCTCTGATGTACATCACCTGCATACGCGAGTCAGAAAATAAATAAGGAAATCTTAACCAAAATCTGACTGTGTTTGCAGGAACATGAAGTCCTCATCTCAGTGTTGACAAGGCGTTGTGAACTTTATCACGGTTATAGTGGATACAGAAGTGTAGCTCAATAAAAACAGTCACACGCAGCAACATCCAGGAAATAATAACCTAGAGTCTACTGAGCTGCAGGGTATTGCTTCTGCTATGATTTTTCTATTCTGCTTTTTAATGGAGGATTGATATTAAAAAAACTTCCTGCAAGGAAGCTTTCTGCTAAGAATCAAGTTGAACACAGTTTCTGATTAGAACGGGTTTCTTTTAAGAGGGTTTGTGCCATTCACTTTCCTTCAACAGTTAGTTGTTACTCATGAGCTGATGCATACACATGCACACAATGCATGTGTGTATGCGAACATGCACACATGCATGCATGTGCACGAGTGACCTATTGTCAGCTCTTGGGCCATGAATGCAATTAGTTAATCTAGACCCTCCCACTGGAGGCATCCCCTTAACCGTTTTATTTTGCAAGTCACTTGTGCGCACGTGTGCACATGCATGTGCTGTAGTTTGTTTTCAGCTCTTGCGCCATGTGGATATTGCCAGTCTTTCTTGAAGGCACACACTGTCACGAACACATTCACTCAGTGGCTGGCATTGGTATGAGTAGGCCAGAGTTGTCCTGTAAACAGACTCTGATGACGTGACCTGATCTGGGGCCAGTTGGAGGGTACTCCAGCACTGCTGTCTAAACAGTGTTTCTGTCTTTAATCGTGTCTTTATAACTAAGCAATTTAAGAATCATAAGCAGCTTGTTAAGAGCGTTAAATATGATTTTCTCATGAGACTCCGCTCCGTCATCTGTTGAAATCATGAGTCCTGTTATAGGTGAAGGCCTCAGTAGTTTGGTTTAGATGGAGAAGAATGCCATCTACTTGTAGTAAAGGATAAAAGTACGCCCAGAACACTATAAGAGATATTTTAAATGCCTTTTCAATAGGGATCTTTTTTTCTATTCATTTTGACAGCTCTTGAAATCAGCCTTATTTCCCCTCGACACTTTCAGCATTAAAAAAAAGATGATCTTGGCAGGATCTCTCATATTTGTTCTTTAATATTTGTTGCAAAATCTCTTTTTTTTTTTGCATCATCTGTCTCAAATGTAAACCATCTCTGATTTTAGAGCAAATGTACAGTTAGCACCTTCAATTATTAACATGATATGCTTTTTATTGTAGTTTTCCCACATGCATTGCAGCCCTAAACTTTTCTAGTCACTGCCTTATGAATGTGCCTGTCACAGTTGGATTGGCAATTATGTGATATTTAATCTGCCAACATTTCAGTACAAAGTCTAGGTGTGATATCTGATCTTTGACAGTCGCACAGTTAATGAGTTCAGTAAATTCAAAGCTAACGAGTGGTTGTCCTGTGTCCTTGCTGCGTGCTCTACTCAGGTATCGCCTAAGTCAAACCGAGTATTTGCAGTATTGGAAATGGTGAGAAAGGAGAACTTCCAACTACAGTATGTCCTGACTTGGATTTCCCACCACTTTTCTGCAGTTCATGGCACATGTGTTATCTCTGTTCCTTTGTTGGTATATTTCACAACAGCCTGATGTTGATTGCATATACACTATAAAACATCAAGAGCCATTATGTGAACCCGTTGTTTTAGTTGATTTCCTGCATCGATTACACGTAAAATGTTATCTTATTTTCATCTAAGTTACAAGTTTATATCTATAAAATACAATTTCATTAATAACACAAACAATGAAAGTCATTAATTTATCAGCGCACGTGTGAGGAGCTGTCTTTGAGTGTGCAGTATTTGTAACTCAGTACATGACATTCTGATTTTAGGAAAAAAAATGCTAATTTTTAATTTATTGGTGGATTAATTTTATTTCTCACTGAGTTGATGAGCAGGGGTGCAGTTAGATTAAGATTATTCTAACATGGTTGGATCTAGTCCTTTTCCTGTTGCTCAGGTTTGTTGTGGAGGTTTTTATGGCGGACAACATACGGCTCAGGCCAGTGACTTCTCCACTGTTGTTAAACTGATAAAATGTTTAAGCATGGCTTTTGCGCTTGCGCAAGCCTGTTATGCCTGAAAGTTTCACACAAATTTCTGATAGGATAAACTGATGACATTAGGTATCCAAACAGTCAAAGGTCAGCTTTATTGCAGCATCATAATGTTTGCCAAAAGCAGTTTTTCAGTCATTATTCAGCACCATAACTGAGGGGCACGAGGGGAGATTGTGACCATATATGTCTTTTATTGAATTGGTTATACCTGCTTTTGCTGCCTAACATTTAAAGTAAATATTCTGTATGAGTTTACACAGACATGGAGCTGCACTATAACTTGAATAATTTGAAGCAGCATACAACCACAAGGAAGTCATTTTAGTTCTATTTTGAATTTCTTTTCTGACCGTCTTCCTGTAGTAACTTTTCCAGTGAGGCGAGTCAGGCCACAGTGTACGGACCTCCTAGCCTCTCAGAAGCAGCTGACGCAGCAGCAGGAAGCGCAGTTCCTCCCCCCTCTTCTTCATCTTCGTCTTCTTCACCTCCATCGTCCTCAGCTTCAGCTTTTTGCCCAATCAACCCTTCTTCCCGACACATCGTAGAGCGTCAGTCCCGGATGCTCAACTTCAGGGTCGAGTACCGGCAACGCTCTGTAGAGCTGGTGGTTGAGGAGGGCAGCACAGTTGGTGAGCACCGCAAACTCGCACAGATGTACCGTGTCCATATTTAACGCTTTCACACTGACTTTTGCAAACAAAAGGTCAATTTTCCTTTCTTTGTCTAATTCAATCCATAGGAGAAATCAAACAGATCCTTGAAACAGAGCTTGGTGTTCCGGTGTCCAAAATGCAGTTGAAAGGGTGGAAGAGCGGAGATGTGTCTGATAGTGTGAGTTTAAAGCTTTAATTTTTATAAAGCACCTTGAGGTGACTACTGTTGTGAATTGGTGCTGTATAAATAAAGCTGAATTGTATTGAATTGAATTAACACATTAAGACACTAAGAAAAATGGCGATATAACACAAGTCTGCTCCTTCTGTTAATTGTTTTACATTACCAGACAGGTGTTGCATTTAGGAGCCGATCTAATTTATATTGTCTCTACAGCTATAACTCATTCACAGGACCTTTTTACAGTTGTGTATGTTTATGTGTGTGTACTCAGATGGTGCTGAGAAGTTTACACCTGCCCAAGAACAACAGCCTGTATGTCCTGACCCCCGACATTGCCCCTACTGCCAGCACCAGCAAAAACAGGTACTCTCTAACTCCCATCCTTATTATGGGGATAAATCCTTTCTTGTCATTCTGCTGCGTATACACTATAAATCATTATAGGTAGTGGCATGAGTGCAGTTCAAACACCAGGTGGTGCTATATCTCCACTTATAAAGAGGAGAGGGAGCCAACGCTGCTTTCATAGCTTTATTAGGAGACATTTGACCTGGCAGTGCACATTCGCTTTTCACATCCTTTGTGACATTTTGAGAAGATGAGAGGAACGTCTGGTGCCACACTCTTTGTGTGTTATGCAAATAATAATTTTGTCGTCCGTCTTTGTCATCTTCGCTATGATATTGTTGCTTGCCAAAGGTTTTCCTTTGCATCTTTCTCTTCAGAAGTTGTGTATGTGACAGCCACACTTCATATCTATTATTTATACCTTGCTTGAAAGATCACACATTAACACGCAGTAACAATAGAGATTTTCTGGGAAAGCCTGTGAAGTCGGTGTTCTTCATCCAGAGGTTTCTCGGGTTGTCTTAGTGAATGCGTGACAGCATTAGCAACCTTTTTCTCTGAAATGTCAGGCAGCTCAGGATAAAGTCGTAGCCGTAATACAATCATAGTTGGCAGCTGAGCATGTGATTGGTCTTTCATCAGTATCAGGTAAACATCATCCAAAGAAATAATATATCTGCTTTATTCTACTTGGTTATCACAGGATGACAAAGATCATTTTTATTTTTTATTTTGAGGGGATTGGACGGATAATGATAGATATGAAGGGTACACATTTTTTTGTTTGTGGGAATATGTCTTTAAAATATTACCTTGCACTATTTGTATGGTTGCAGTATTTGAGTTCTTTGTTTGTATGAGTGTTTGCTGTCTGTCATTGTCCCCGCCGTGTAATTTTGTGTGCGCTGTAATTTGAAGACACATCCAGGCAGAATGATTGAGGATCTACAGTGCCACTTCTGTGATTAATAACGGAATTGGTTTTCTTTTTTGAAGCTAATGTCCCCGAGGACATGGTCTGTGAGCTAAAAACAAAACGGGAAAGAAATGATTTAATGGAAATTTACCAGCAGTGGTTAGTGTTTTATGTGTTCTTCAGAATATTTTTGAAATTAATGGTTGAGCAGTGTAGTTTCAGATCCAGCACCAGTACTGTTATCAGCATTTATCAATTTAACATTGCATTAAAAAAGCAGCTGTAAGGTCTTCTTGAGTGCATAATTATGTAATTGTGGAACCTAATAAGTTGTGACGTAGTCTGGGACATTTTGAAGTATAACATTTTGTGAGCAGAGTTTCCCGTGTCTCTATGAATCATCTTCAAATCATCATCAAAAGCTCTGTGGCTAGTACGGGGCATGTATCTGCAATGAGCATTAGTTCGTTTGTTAGAAGATCAAGAGGGTTTTTGTTTAGGTTTTTTTTTATTTTTTTTTATTGGCGTGTCATACATTGACCTCCAATTCTTTTTAATCTTTTCTTTTTTCAGCTGTGAATTAAAAAAACAAAAATTGTACTGTAGCTCTCCCCTGAGAAAGCATCCACATGTCAGCAGAATACGTGTGGAGGAAGTAATTTGGCAGTTTGCAGCTTTCCGTGCTAGTTAGGCTAAGTGGTAGTTATACGGTGTTGTCAGTTAATGACCCTCCGTTGCTCTCTCTCTTCCCTGCCTCTCCTCATCTTCTCACTCGTACACCGACTGCTGTGTCTTTTTAGCAGCACCGTTGCCTTTCCTCCAAGTGTTATCGATATCATTTTGGGTGTCAGGAGCTCGTTATTCTGTGTCAGCTATTTTAGCGGCGGACAGTTGGGGCTGAAAGGAGTGGGTGGGCTCTTGTGTATATGCACATGCAATTGTCTATTAACGTGTGCCTGCGTGCGTATGGTGACCATGTTGGCATACTGGGAGCGGATAGGTGACAAATCACAGAATGTGAAGGGAGCAGTCCCCTGTAGCGAGACCAAACAGGCTGTTGGCTTGTAGTAAAAATAAACTGTGGTCACACCATATACACACAGTTCATGTGAAGTGTCTGCAGATTTGTTGTAGCAGAGAGATCTCAGTGCAAGAATTAGTGTCATACCATCTCAAAGTATTCATGTCTTATGAATGAACTGATTTGGTATCAAATGACCATAAATGACCAGTTCTTGTGTTATTTGTGTTTTAAATATCTTATAATATTTGATTTACTGATGAAAGTGGCAGTCTTCTCATTTTACTCATGCAACATAATTAGAGGAATTAAGGATGAATCAAATGAGTATTACAATGTATGAGGGAAAATGAGAAAGAGCTTGATTTTCATGAGAAAATCATGAAAAACGACGTGTGTGTCTTTATAAAATCTGAAACTTCACTATGGAAGGAAATCTGTAATTCTTATAGTGTGTATATATCTTAATGATTATTTTTTACTGTTGATTATATTGTATCCCTGCCTTTGAGAAGCTTTAACCACGGCCCTGATTTCAGTTTCACTTCTAATAAGCAAAACTGAGTGCAGCACTTTACGGGTTAACATTAAGACAAAGGTCTACTTTTATTTGTTTTTGACCTACTGTCCCACAAGTTTCTAATAAAATGTAGCCTCCCAGCATGTAATTATTATCTAATTAACCATAATTAATCCAAATATAGCAGAATATCTAATTAGTAACATTAAAAAAAACTATGTATCTCATTTCCCTCTAAGTAATCTATTTGTTTGTCTCAACTTGGATGGATGTTGCACACACTAAAGCCATTTTCAAACAGGCATCCGGCAACAGTGTTTGCTTCAAAAATCCACACACGGAGTTGCCTCTTTATTAGTTGCACTTGTAGTCTGCCACAATTCGGTACAAGAGCTCTGCTATAAAACCTATTTTTATTGTGTTTAACCTTTTGTGGAGTGTATAATGTTGTTGTGTATGTATATTTAGAGTGAAAGTGGTGTTGTGCTCTAATAATGCACTGACAAGTGGTTCTTGTCATTTATGAGAATATTTGAAAAGCCTTTGAATATAATACAAGCCAGAAGATAACTGCAGCTAAACCTCAGTGCTAAAACATCTTATTTAAAACCATCGCAGTGGTGTCAACAGAAACATTTTAGGTATCCCAAAGTCGGCTTTATGGCAGAGCAGTTTTATGGGATTTCTTTAGGTTACATGGTGCATGTAATAGGATGACCACAAAGTGTAAAAATGGGTGGTTCGTGGCACTCGGGCAATATCTTTTTGACATCTAGGAAGAAAATAGCGGTCATACAGACTGTCTTATCGAAGTTTGAGCTTCTTTTAATTTGGCTGGTAGCTATGTTCCATATTACAGACTGCAATATGGTGTGCACTGAAAATGTTTATATATTCAACATTGTGATTTTGCATGATTGATATTCAGTATCAAAGCCAAAAAGGGGGGAAAAAACGGTGTAAGTACATTTTTCAGACACATTTTCTACCAGGATTGTTTTGCTTGTTGAGACATATTCATTTTTAGCTTTTGTTGGTTTCAGAGAAGCAGTATAACACACAGCAGGTATGACAGGAGTATAACGTGCAGAGACGTAAAGTTGCTTGATAATATTTTAAAACTGGTATATATGAATAACCTTAACTTAACTTAATAGTATAGTTATGAAAGCAGGAAAAAACATCTCTTAGTGAAAGTTTTCTTCTAGCTGCTAATGATTTTTTCCAAACAAAAAGCAAAAAGGAACCACTACCATCTAAATAAAATGGCTTGTAACACACATTTTGAATGAGAGTAATGAACCTCTCACTGTCTCCCGAACTATATTTGCTAGTTTGTATTTTTTTTTTTAATCTGAAAAGACAGTTATCCACCCAAATGTAATTTCTCAGTGCTCATAGTAAAAATTCAAATCTCCCGTAAATGGTAATATCCAAAGCAATTACTTTGTCGAGCTTGGCTCATGCTGTACACAGACCTCCACCAAAACCGACTGATTAAATAGTGCTGCACTGTCATTATGATCCCGCTGAGCAAACTCCTTTTGGTTGTCTTGTTTGATTAGAAATAAATCTCGAGGCTTCGGGAGGTATTCCTTTGAGCACCGATTCATTTAGATAGTTATTTAGTTAGTGAAGTGATGTGCAGTTAGTAATGGTCTGAAGTTTTTCTGTGGCCATGTTGATGACCGCATGTGAATACAAGATGGTGTTAAGGAGGAGCTAATCTCGTGCATAAATGATGAAGGGCTGATGAATATTTCAATGGAGCCTGTTTCCTTTATTGTTTATTCTCTGCTCCAGCTCTGAGCAGGCACGTGTTTGCCGAGGAAAGGTTATTTTAATTTGAACTCTGGAAAGGAATTTGAAATTAAAAAAGCGATTCATGAGGTTTTTTTATGTATTCTTGTTTTATTGAGCTTTGCCTGTCGGCTTACGCTTCACCTCCGCGTGTCAGCTGTCCAGTCTCAGATACACAGATACTTCAGGGAGATAGCTAACTGGTCAGCTAAAGCAGTGATGCGAAGGATTGTGCGAGTAGCACAATAATAACCTTTTGGAAACAATGGCAGATCAAAATAGAGCAGAACCTGAATGGTTTCACATTTTTCTGCTTTGTTGTGGATGCAAAATATGGAGGAGGTAAGCAGACTCTCGTGTGCGCCTCAGAACCTCCTTTGTACCTGTTAGGGGCATAAGATGAGCTGGCGTGTATTCTGCTGGTTGGTGTGTTTTTTCAAGCATTTAAAGCAGCAGCTGAAACACGCGTTATGGTAGTTCGTAAATACCAGTGAGCAGTTTTGGTGAATGTTTATGGGACAGCGTATGCGTGTATGGGTATTGGTGTTTTGTAGGCACATGTCACATTGTGTGCATGTGTGCGTGCGTGTGCGTCTCTGTGTCTGGCAGTGCTAGTTTAATAAGGTCTAGAGTCTGCTCTGTGCCGCGGGGACTCACAGCTTAGGCGACAGGCTTACCTCAGAATGAAACCAATCTGTTTAGCCTGCTCTTCTCCCCCTGCAGAACGCTCCATTTTTGCTGTCCATAAAGTTAAATGACATTTTCCTCACGACACCCTTATGCCATGTCAAGTGCCTCCGGAGATGTTCCGGGCCGACCTAGATGTCAACGAGTGTGTGTGTGTGTTGAGTGAGAAAGGGACCTCTGAAGGCAGAAGCAAACACTGCGACATCCACATTTCAACCCTGCACTGCTTGAAGGGCCTGCTTCCCCGAGAAGACAGCCGCTTTGAAAACACAGGTGGTGAAAGCGGTCCAGACAAAGGGATGTTAGATTTGAAACATGGTTGTTCTGTTTATATGTGAACCAGCAGGCCTTCCTTAGACAGATGGGAAATGACAAGGAGATGACTCATCATGAGTGGCAGTTTGTTTCCGGTCTGAATGCATTTGATATTTTAAGTAGCTATATTTGTACTATAGAGCATGATGAGTGATATATTTTTCAAAGTAAATCTCAAACAGAACCTCCACCCACACACACACCAAATGGCTCATCGGCCTGCCATAAATGACTGATAAGATGTTCCTTCTTTGCTTGGAAGGACAGAGTAACACTTCCACTCAGTTTACCCTCTATCTCTGCCTATTTAGGAGTCTAGCCGCTTGCCAGCAGCAGCTCGGGACTGTGTCCAAACATAATCGTGATATTAGCTAGATCCTTATTTATATGTCCCTACCCCTTCCATCTCTCCTCTCTCTCACACACACGCACACACATCGCTCTCATCCGTCTGCTCGGGCCTATTACATATGCATCCATCCTTCCCACTTCACACATTTCCAATCTTCTCCAGTTAGCTACAACAAACATTACATTTACATATTGATTTCGTAGTTTTAGTCAATGTAAATATGCTGTCATTACAGTAAATTTGAGCTTCTGTTAACATAAGCTCGTCCAGATCTGCGCAGATTAAGGGTGTGATTGCATAATTAATGTGTGCGCTACATATTAATTCCCCCATCCCTCTCTTTCTCTCAACTCTTCCTCCTCTTCTTGGGTTCTGAGCCCTGATTAAGTGCCTGTTTCGGCCTTTAAGCCTCCCATTGCTATTCAGCCTCACAGACCCAGCGTTTGCTCAAAACGCTACTTAACCTCACAGCTTATTGTAAATTAAGCTTCCAAAAGTTGATTCCCCCACCTCTTCTTCTCTAACACTGCTGTAAGTTAGTAAGTGAGCTACGGGTGTCGGTCCAGAGGCAACATCTTAGAGCAGCGGTTGTCTGTAAATACCGCTTTCACAGATTAATATGAAAGTTTCTTAGTAAATGTCTGCTGGACTTATTTGCAGAATTACTCTGAAACTTTTTCACATTCAGTTTTAGTTTTGTATTATTGTTATTTTTCACTTTTAAGTTGGTGAAAAGAATTTCACGCTGAAGGGAATGCAAATGGAGATAACTATAGCATAGTCAGTCAATACATACTTTATGACCTGCCTACAACAACATTAACAGCTTTCTAGATACATCTATTGTAACTGTAACTGGACTAGGTTTAGGCTATTTCAGATTTTTGACTGTGTTCAGCTAGTTCAGGATATGCCACAGCAAAATGTTGCTTTTTATTTATATTTATTTTTTAGTTCTGAAAGTACTGTAGGCCTTTTCTCCTGTTTTGTTAGCGTTAAGGCAGATTGATCGACTCCCCGCTGTTAATGTGCAGGTGGTCATAGCTGTTGGAGCCTGCTGTGCTGAACATAGCTCTGGACAGGCTTGTTAAGACATAACCAGAAAAGAGAACGACTTACCCCCTGAGGAAGCACCCACCTCCCCACAGGCCAGCAGGCTACCACTAGTCGACAAGTTTCAGCTTGCCCTTTACTCAACTCGAGTCACTGTTAGCAATTATGTATGTTTGTCTTTGCCCTCTTCTTTCTCTTGTGTCATTGTTCTGTCACCTCATTTAGGTGTTTTCTCTCTGCATCAATCTGTGTTTTCATTTCCTTTATAGCATTTATCCCTATTTCTTACGGTTTCCAATGTTCCCTCTTCTCGTTTAGTGCTCTTCAGGATTCATTAAACCAAAACTTCCTGCTGGTCATTAGCCACCGTGAGGCTCAGAGGGACTACAACCTCAACTTTCCCGGCTCCAGAACCATACAGGAGGTATGGACACACACACCACATTAGATATCACAGTGTCACTTTCTATGCACACATACGCACAAAGTCTCTGTAATGCACCCACATCATGCACTCACATAATATTATTGTGCCTTATTCTGGCTTCTCATAATACAACTTTCATTCCATTTGCCAAACATTGCTAGTCTATCTCAGCCATCGATTCATTATTCATCACAAATGATCACATTTCAGAGCACATAATTACTCTCACAGCTGCGCTCTGGTACAGCCCCCTCGTTTTTTCTGGACTCCCCCAGCTCTGCGTCTTTCTCTCTCTCTCTCGCTGCAGTGTCAGCAGTCTAGAAAGCCATTTAAATGACTAAACATTGTTTGATCTAGGCATGTGGGTGCAGTGGAAAAAGACAGTGCGTTCGCTTACTCCATCTGAAACTAAACAGTAGCCTTTGCAGCCTATGAAATATTTATGGTTACTCAGCTAGGACCCAGTGTGAGTCCAGTGCATGTCTTTATCCGTTGGTTATTGCTATCACAGCTGCAAATTGATTAGATGTTAAGGAACATGGGAAAGTAAGTGTATGCTTGCTTGAATGCGAAGACGAGTGAGTGTGTCTTGCTGTATCGGTTTTTAGGTCCTACTTGTGTTGAAATCTGAACTTGCCTGCATATAGAAACATGTCTTTTAGGCTGCATCCACACCAAGGCCAGATTTAGACACAGGCAATCTTAGAGAGCTTACGACGTAACCTATGAAAGTGGCTGACGGAATTTATGCTTGTGCTGGTGCATTATGTGTTAATTACCGTGTGGTCACATCCCAGTGTTTTCACCACTAAAGCATATATCTGACCACACTACTGTGTCCTTTTAGGTCCCCTGAAGTCAAGTATTTTGAAAACTCTACCAAGCTAAGATTTAGTTTTAGTAAGGACGGGTTGATCATAAATTGATCATGCAGGCACCAACATCCAACTGCTGACTGATTGAATCTCATCAGTCACTATCTGTCCTTCCGTGAGTCATCACACCCCATCACATGACCCTTTTGTGGGAGAAAACAAAAGCATTGGTCTTGGCAACCAGTGGTTAATTCAATGAGGAAAACAAATTACAGGTGTTGCTGAGCCTGGTGTTTATGCTCTTAGCTGTTCTACAGCTAAACTGTGCATTTTATTAAGCTACAACTTCCTACCACAGACTGTCCAGGTGTACGTCAGTGGACATGTAAAATACATTTTTAGGTGAATGGACAGATATTGCTTCAGTTTGTTTATTAATGGTGCAGAAACTCTGTTTAATATGAAAACATATTAGAGTGGATATAGCCATACACAGCTGCCCTGTGCTGTCCTGCTCTGCTCTGGCAGGGAGAGACCTGAGCAGGAAACATTTATTAGTCAGTGTTTGCTAGCCAGCTGCTAGAAGTAAGAACTTTAACTCTGTCTTACAGTACCTCCTTGAAAGTTTAGGTAATTTAAACTCAATTTAAATGATTTGATCTCAGTGTATCAGGATGTTTAATGTCTGTGGATTCTTTACATGCCTATGACTAGTTGTTTGTCAGTTTAGATGTGCTGAATGCTTCTGTGTTTTACATCCAGACCAACTGTTTTCTCAAAAGCAAAAGTGAAAGGTGTTTATTCTTCCTTGTTCTCTACAACCACTGCTGTTCTGGCCTAGGTCCTCGTTGCAGTTCAAGATTACACTAATAATAATCAGGCTGCACGCAGGGCCTGTAATGGTGCTAATTGAACAGATTAGTATAACCAGCATCTGAACTGGAGGCAGCTCGCCTCCCTGGACTTCTCTCTCTTCTCCATTTGCGCTCTCATTTTTTTCTCCTCCTTCATCATCTCCCCTTTTTTTTTTTCCTCACTCTCTTCTCAGGCAGATGGTTTTGATGAGCACCCACTGTGAACCTTAAGTGTTTCTGCTGGGATTACAAACACTGGGGAGGGGTCCCTGTGGTGTGGGAGGGGGGAACTGTGGACACAGAAAGGAGGCAAAGGACTGTTGGCTTGGTGGGGGTGCTGTAAGAGGCCACGGGGGATAGAGAAGGGACCATGTGGGCTTAAACAGGCCTCCACGTTGCGGTCCTTTCCTTACAAATGCTTGTCTTTAGGCATCTCAAGGCCCCCTGCGGGGAAAATGAGACCCAGAACTTTAACCTGAATATATCATGTGTATACATCATGTAAGGGCTGGCTCAGAAACGTTTTCGGAGTCAGAGTGAATGTGAAAGAGTAGTTGTGGAGTGGAGTTGCTTTAGTATGGCTTGCCTGTGGGAGAGATGAGGAAATAGACTGAAAAAAATATACAATAAGAAGAATAATTAAAGACACCAGCAAGAAGGGAAATGCTGTTCTGTCAACAGAAATATCTTGGGACGCAACAAAGTGGTAACAACACATATTCAGCCTGACTGACACTCTTTTCTGGTATACTGTGTCCAATCTCACATATGGACACCACTACAGAGCACCTTTCTTTCCCCATTCTCCCTTTTGTCTTTACTGAAGACTAACCGATGGTCCCTGCTTGTGCATATCAATAAGGATGGAGTCTTGTCTTCTTGTTTGTCTTTGCCAAAGACTGTGGCTTTGCCTTGTGGCTCTCAGGGAACTGCCCTTACCCCTCCCTTTCTATTCCTTCATTCTCCATCTCTCTCCCAGTGTCCCCTTTCCACTTTCTTTCTTCTCCATCTCTAGAGCTCAAGGCGGTGTAGACTCTGATTGGCATTACCAGACTATACTGTGGGGGTAAGTTGCTGGCTAGCTTCTGAGCTAAGCTGGAGAGCAAATGTTTGCCAGGGAAGTAGAGGGTAGAATAGGCATGGCTGCCGGGTCCTGAGTTGTCCGTGACCAGACCAGTTGTCCTGGGGATTTCCCTTGTCTGCTGCCCCCCCCCACGCCCCCACCCCGCCCACCCCAGGGCTTGTGGATGGGCCCCATCCTTGCTCCGCAGCTGGGCGACATATAGGAACCGAATGCAGACAGGGGCTAGAGAGCTGAGAAAAGGAGGGTTGGATCGAAAAGGAATGAAAGAAAGGCATCTGGTGCTTAGGGGAGATGAAGAAAGAGAGAGGGAGCTTGTGACTGTTTAACGGAAACCTTTCCTTTTCTTTGATTTGCTTCCAGGCAAGGATTACAGGCAATTGGCATTTACAATGATTGGATCATTAATTTTGCCGTGAGGCATATTGCCCAGCAGCTCAGCACCACTGCCAGTTTAGCTAATGTTGTGTATAACTGGCTCATACACCCTTGCCTCATCTCAACATGAACAGCCGCACACAATTTGCAGCACTGTGTTAGACTTTGATATAAATCCCTTTATGCTCCCTTAAAGGCATTTTCTTTACATTTTATCTTCTCTGTGTAGAAGTCAGGTTGATCAATACCTTTCACAAGCCGCCGAATCGTTCGACCACCAATGCCATGTTTTGCTTAATACCCCATGCAATGACGTTCCAAATGTAGGCCCCTTGTTTAGAGACAAACAAGTCTGAATTATTTGTAAGTAGGAATTTGCTATGGAAGTGTTACTGAGAGGCAACTATTAAACGTAATTGTTTTAGTTTGTTTCAGTCTCACTTATCAGTCAGATGGCTGTTGCGGTAGACAGGGGGCAGCATTAGACAGTATTGCTCCATGTGTGGTTGGATTGCAGCCCTCAGTAACAATGCTCTGTAACCGAGGGCTGCAACAAGAAATTCAGCTAGCTGGGTTAAGGCCAGGCATTCTGTCAAGCTAGTCTTGGGTTCTTATCTGTCCTTAATTTTATTAATATTTGGTTTTCTTTCAGTCGTTTTTCACAATATTTCATATGTCAGGAAAAGATTGAGTGACTCCCTTCAGATTTTGACAGTGTAGTTTCAGGTGGACACGCTTGCTGTATAGATGTGGGTGGGGGTTTTTTTTGTGGTGAGATCAGATTGTCCTTTGCCAGGTGTCTTTCACTCTCTGTCTCCACTCTCCTCCCCCACCTCTCACCTTCACTCTCTCTGTGGTGGGCGTAAGTTTGTTGTTTCTCTGATGCTGCTTTAACCTCTGACTGCAGTCTCTTCATTACTAGTGTTTATGCCTCTCCTTTCCTCCCTTTTCCCCTCTATTCATCGGCCGGCCAGCCGGTCAGTCAAATCCCTGTAGTCTGGCTGGTCAAACATAGATATTACACTCTGTAATAACACTGGCCACCCGCTTTGACCCCAGCCTGCTGTCCTGATCATAGCCTCTTCATAAGGATAGGCACCGAGCCGTGTGGTGTGGGATTTACGACGGAAAGGCAAAGGATGGACTGTGCCACTCATTTATTATTGTTCTTTTATACTTCTCCCTCCATGTTTGTACTCTGAATTGCTTTGCCGTGCTTTGCCCATCCACAGTGAAATAAAATTATGTTTGTGACTGATAATGTGTAGGAAAAAAATATTCTGCTCAAAAACTATTTTAGCTTTGATTTTTGCTTTTGTTTTAAGAGGGTTGATGATTTGTGTTTCCACAGGTTTGTTTTTGTTTTGTTTTTTATGCCAGTAAAGATTTTCAACTTTAATATTTGGGACAAAAGTGTTCCTTACTTTGTTTTATTTAATTTTTTTTGAGCATTTCTTTTATAAAAGATAACAAGAGTCATTCTGATTGTGCTCCCAGACAGTTTTTAAACTACATATAAATGCAAAGTGCGGTAATAAGTAGTATTATGGGACAAGCAGCCGAGCATTGTCTATCTTCATAATCTTTACAGTTCAGTGTGCTGCACAGGCTTTCCTGCTTTCCCCGAGATTGGCTTTGACTTTGTGTTTGTAGCGTTCTTTAAGTTTCCACCTCCATGACCAGCAGCCCTGAATATGCTCAAGGATCCATCTCTTCTCAGTGCTTGTTACATAGACAGGATTTGCCCTGTGTGTGTGGAGGGATCTTAGCTCCACAATAGATAGTTTTCTCAGCATCAGTGTTCAGCCCTGCGGGCCTGAACGGCAGAATCCTGCAGAACAAACGCACTAGAATCCACGGCCGCCAGCGTTCAGACACCGACAGGGCTTTGATCAGGGTTTACTGGCGCACATCAGGCTGGCGTTAGGGCTTTAAACCAACAACCCAGCAGCCGGTGTAACGCAACGCTTGACGGGACAGGCGCTTGCTGGCTGCTAACTGTTTAAAAGCAAGGAGTGTTATTAAGTGATGCAGATACAGCGTCCGCACATGAATGGGAGAAGAGAAATACTGTTCATTTCAGAGCGTGGGGCTGTTGTCGCTGGGAATTAGCAGTGGCATCTGAAGAATGCTGATAGCACTGGCTGTCTCTTTTCTGTCCTTCTCTCTCCTTTGACTTCTGAAGCCCTTTATTCTCTGCCTCTTCTGTTCTTCCGAGCGGAGGATGCCTCCTAAAATTTACAGCGTTGTATGCAACGTAATGAGGCAATCATGTTGACGCTAAAACTGACCCACCCGCTGGCTAGAATATAGAGAAATATCAAAGCTCTTTGTGTAGAGTCAGAGAGGCAGGGCATGCTGTTGTCATTACGGATGTTACATGAGTTTTGTGTATTGCAAGTATACAGTAATATTCAATAAGATACAATCATTTCCTCTGTTTGCAGGTGAAGAGAAACATTTCAGACTTGACCAACATCCCAGTCCGGCATCAGCAGTGGGAGGGATGGCCTGCATCAGCGTCTGATGATTCTGTAAGACACACACACACACACGCACACACACACATACACAAATGCAAAAAGTCAGTCAAACTATTCATCGGGGAACATTTTCTGTGGGTGTTTGAATCAGTAAAGGTATGCAATGACGATACGAGCATCTAAGCAGTGATAGTGAAAAATAGATTTTTGCTTATTGCAGTGCTCCCCAGGGACGGTTTTTTTCCCTGTTTATTTGTTTTGTTTTGTTTTGTTTTTTAGTTAAATAATCCAGAGTGTTCTCATTTTTGACTGACTGGAACCTAAGTTGGATTTCTGCAGATGAGTCTATTACTTGAAACATGGTCTCACAAATTGGTCTTAAAACATATTTTAAATCTTGGGAGGAAGTCCTAAAATTGTCTGTGGTTTCTCAAAATGGTGTCATTGCTCCATGAAATAAGTTTGATTTTGATACAGCAAGACATTGCTTAGATGTGATTCATGATTTAGCGGCGTTTCTGTTGATTCCAGCTGGATGAGATGGTCAAATAAACAAAATTCCTTAGGATTTTTCTGAGGATTGGTCTAAGGTCAATCTAGGCAAGCAAAAAAATGTTAAAAATTTATTTTTTTTTCCCCAAGAAATCCACTCATACTGTGCTTTTACAAATCTGTCACATGGTTCAAAATCTGTGTGCCTTTGAGAAAAAAAAGAATAAACACCCTTCCGGTTTCTGTCCGTTGGTTTTGCTAGAGTACCCGAGGCACAGAAAATTGTTCCAATCTCGAAACTGCGCCAAAACAGCTGTCAGAAGTATGAGAGTAAGATGTTAAAGGTAATTAAGACGTCAAAGATGGTTCCCATTCTGTGTCCTCTGTCTGTGGACATTAAAGCTCACATCATTCGGTCCCGCTGACCTCTCTTGTCTCAGGGTTGCCCTTCCCAACCATTCACCCTACACACAGTCAAGCTGATCAGAGGCGGCCCTCATACAGAACCTCGAAGAACCTCTGACCCCTTTTGCCTCACCCCTTCTTTGGCAGCATATGTGTTCCCATGCTAATTGTTTGGGATGTTTTCATGCCTACATTGAGAATCTGTTGTGCACACATTCTTCCAGCTAACAATTTTCATTTTGGTCTTTGTAATTGTTTGGTTTGGTGTATTTTTTTTCTCTCCATGCATTATCATATGTGTCTTGTGCAAGAATTAACTGTAAAAGCGATACATACTTGTGATTCATATGGATAAACTTGTTACTTTGTACAGTGTTATGTGGGAAGAGTCTGTTACATTTGTTACCTATTAGTCATATTACTCAAAGTGGATAAACAATGACTGAACTGGTTTTTTTTGACTCAAAGTAAAGCTTTTAGTACTGACAGTGGAAGCAAATACAACACACCCATTAACCTACATAAAAAGGATAAAAGGTTACAGTTTTACACTACCCAAGACTGTTTGCTGTATTTTGTTCCATGACAGCTCAGAGCAGCCAATTGTAAATCCAGTAACCACCAAACAAACCATAGGGCTACGATGCAGATTTTCCATTGTTAGCATTATTTTTGGAGACTTGAAATTATGCGATCAGTAAACAGCCCGGGATTGCAAAGGAAATACAAATCTTACTGCAAATCTGAAAGCACATTTTGGACATGTGGCGCAATGACTGACCTCAGTCTTGAGTGGAAATGTTTGGTATTATTCCACCAAATTATTTACTTTTCAGAGTCGGAGCCACATTATGCACTAATAGGAAGAGTGCTGACATTTTCCAAAATCAAAGTTTTTTTTAAAACAAGGAAGGAGGGCATTTTGTAAAATGTAAATAAAAAAAACAGTGCAGTAATTTATAAATAATTAAAACTGTAAAACTCATTGAAAATAATACAGAAGCAACATATCAGTGTTTTGAGGGAAATTATGCGTTTTTGTTTTCAAATTTATACCAGTAAACTTTCAAATAATTCACAACTTACTGGAAATGTACATTTGTCTATGTACTGTATATTCAGCCAACCACAAAAAAAAAGAATCACTATTTTTCATCTATTAAAATTAGATTATTATTTTCTTGGGTAAATTGGTAAAAAGTTGGGAAATATAGGGAAAGAGCAGAGGGAAATGACATGCAGGAATCATCACAGTAAGGACTCCTCTCATGGTATGTTCCATAGCAATTAATCATTTGAAAATACTTAGACGGGCTCTGAACATTTTAAAGTATAATCATTGCATTTCATGCACTATTGACCTAACTACTACTATCTAGCCATGCGCACTCATTTTCCAATTCCAAACCAGTAAGCTGTACCTACTAATTTCAGTTTAAATGTAAGATATGTAAGAAAAACACTTGATAATTGTGTTTTTTATATTTGCACTTTTGTTCTCCGTATTCTGGTTTTCAGCGGGCCTCAGCTTGTCACACTCAGCTGTATATATAACGGCCAGCGATTGCGAATAGATTATCATAGGCCCGGTTAGCCTTTGACTAGCACACATCCGCAGTGTCTGTGTTTCCTTGGATGAAGTGATATTAAAAAGTATAGAGAAGAGACAGAAGTGCAATAATGGCCTCTGCACTAGCTATAGCCCTCTTATTGAAACGTCTGAAGGTATTAACAGAGAAAGCCAAGGGCTTGGCTGGCCTAGCAGTCGGGTAGGGAGCCAGTGTTAGTGTCTAGCTCATTAGCCCAGTCTCATCTCCCGGGGCTTGGGCCAATAAAGATGGCAGTCAGAGGCCCAGGATTGCATTTAGCTCCACGCACTATCCTGCTTGCAGTGGAATCGATTGCTACTCAACTCTTCTGTCTTGTGCGATACCAATGCATTCACCTGTGCAGTTATTATTTGTGTGTGCATATTTGCATTTGTGTATTTGCAAATGTGCCTTTCTTGTTGTACACACTGTGTCTTGGGCTATCGAACCCCAATACTGATCCAACCGAACTGTGTCTTTAGAAAAAACATTTCCTTTGGCTTTGAAAATTCATATTTTTCACTTGAATTCTTGGTCAAATTATTAGTACTTTTTACTTGTTTTTTTGTCTTTTGTTTGTTTGGTTTTTTTCCCAATATTGCAAATTTTGTTTTATTTAAATAAACTGTTGATTGAAGTACTAAAATAATTCTACATTGTTTAAGAAAAGGTATAACATATTTAGTACTGATACAGAAAATTTGTAATTGGATTAGCAGGAATTCACATGCTGACTGTGACAGTGTTGGGGAAATTGCCTTTGCTTTAGCTGTATAGTTGCTTTCATAGTCATCTAGAGCACATTTATGTTTATATATATATCATAGTTCATCTAGCTGATCAACTGCTCAGAATATCAGTTTCTTCTCTCAGTTATTCTTGTGCTGTGAGAAAGTTATTTGAGTTGGTGTAATGTTAGTGTAATTATGTCATGTATTGTTGGAGTATAGGAGATGGTTTGTTAGAAAGAAATTCTCACCTTTCCAGAAAACTAGTGGTTACGTGATGTGTCAGCTCCTGATATTGTTCACTCAGCACGTTTCATTGAAATTCAAGGTCTGATGGTCATCGGAAATTGGATCAGGATGCATAATGGTTTCATGGCAATGAATCACAGATTAGTTTATTCAGTCTATTGTTATTGTTTTTGCTATGGGCTCTTAGAATAAAGGAATTTAGTAGGGCTGTGCGATATGACCAAAATCTCATATCCCGATATAAGAATTCTATCGTCCGATAACGATATAAATCACAAAAATGTAACATTTTCTGTAAATTCTGTGAATCTCAGGCAGCTCAACTTGCGGGAAGTTTTTCCAGCTGCGCGTCATGTAGCTGGAGTCGAGTGTTTTAACCGATGCATGAAACTATACATTTTTAGACATAAGTTGTAACGGCCGCCGTTTTCTTTGTAAGTATTTATTACACGGCGTGCTGCGGAGGAAAGCCTGTTCTAACGTTTGAGTGTAAGGTTTATTTTTTAGCACCTGGCGGCTCTTTTTTTAATTCTCATCTGTAAATAATCTGCTCTTTCACGTGATTCAGTTTATTTTGAAAAGTCTCAACAGGATCTTGAGCTTTATTGTGAAAGGTTTATGTGGAACATAAATAAGCGGACACGCGATGCCGTTACCGTCGTTGTTGCTAACCAAAACGCATAAAAACAGGCGCTTGTCCGTCCATAGTGTGGTTATATTAAATATAAGAGAAAGAGAGAACTTTAAGAAATTAATATAGCCACTACAGTGACCATCAAAACGATGAAAAAATATTGTCGTAAACAGTTTATTTTGCGACATCACGAAACAAACGATAGCGTAAAATGAAACGATAGACGTTTTTATATCGTCATAAATTCAGTATTAAATGTAGTAAATGGGACATAGTAGCAGTAATATATCTATAAAGAAATATCTATCTATATATAAATAAATAAATAAATAAATATCTCTATCTGTCTGTCTGTCTAGATATGTATAGATAGATAGATAAGGTAGTAAAAGTCACATTGCTTTAACTGCTGTACATTTTATTCCTAAGTAATTCAAATTCACCATCAAACACGACTGCCAATGTGAACACATTGCTATTCAAAGCATATAAAACATTTTCCCAGTCTTCTGTATCGCTTCTTAATATTCCATAAATAATTTAATGTCCCCAGTGTGACATTTACCCAGAGCACATTTGGTTGACAAATGTGCAGCTGTTCATGATGAGCAATTTAAATGTTTGTTTCTTGAACATTGTTTTGGGTGCCATGATTACAATGTTCTTATAGATTCATTAGAATCCAGTTTGTAATATTTACTAGTAGTAGAGATCCATGTGGGCAAAACAAATGGTTTTTGTGACTGTTTATTTTAGCATTTGCTTGAATTTTCTTTGGGTTTACTGCATCACAGACATCTTGACGGAACTGGAAAAAGTTCTCAGTCAGAGAAAAAGTGTGTTGGACTTTGCTATAGTTTAAATTTGATTAAAAAAAATTATTTTCTCCAAGTAGAGCAAAACACTTACTCTGGCATCATTTGGAAATATTATGGTCGTACTGCCTTTCAATTTTTTCTCGCTTGTGTGGCATTGACAAAGCTGTTCTGAATATAATACTGATGATGGAAATTAACTTGCTTTGCTATTGCAAATATAACAGTTGAACCTCTGTCCTCGCCTTCTCTGAGACTTTGCCCTTAGCATTTCAGCACAGAGAGTCTCTGCACAGGCTTCATCTCATTGGAGCAGCTCTGATTGGCCGTCCTTCCTCCCATACCTGTTGGAGTGATTGACAGCCAGTGGGACATCCTTATTATGTCCCCCCCATCTCTGCACCCCTCCACCACCACCCGCCCTTTCTTCTAGCCTGTAATTGCTGACATTTATGCAGTGTTTCATGGTGTTTGCTAATGTATTAATGCCACAGAGCCTCTGAGGTGCCGTGGCTTGTAGGGCAGCACCTCCCTCCATTTCCCAGCTGGCATTACTGGAATCTTCCTCTACCTGATTGGGGCCTATGAAACCAGTTATTGACAGGTGGGGGGACAGCTTGTGGTTTCCATAGCATCAGGGCTCAGCAGTAAAGTCAGGCAGAGCCACCCCCCCTTCGTCATGAAATTGGCCTTCTTCAGGTGAAATTCAGTGCTGACTTAGTCTGTCTGTATCTGTTTTCTTTTTGTTTCTTGGTGTTATGCTCCCATCTCACTGAACCTTTTATTTGAAGAATAGGATCCTTTTGTCCTGACCATGGTCACGCTGTATATCTTCCTATTGCATCTCAGCCTAGAAACAATGTCATTTATTAAATATCTTAATAAATCTTAAAGGTGGAGTTTAAGTCTTCTATCTCCTTTCTTTTTAAACTTCCTCTTTTCTTTCTCTCTGTTCTTCTCTTGCTCTAAAAATGACATAGTAGAGTAAGGTGGTATGATGAGGTTTTGGTTGCCTTCAGTGCAGCTGTCAGTGGTAATTATCTCATACTCACAGCCAGACACCTAATCCAAACACTGCCTACACTGGAAAAGAAAAAAAAATGAAACACAGAAAGAATGAAGGGAGGAAAAAGGAGGATAGAGTAGAGGGACAAAAAAAAGGTTGACTGGGAAAGCAAAAGGAGGGAGGGGGGGTGTGAGGGAAAGAGAAAATTCTTCCCCTGTATCAGCCCCTGAATGCTTAGAGCCTCAATGAAAGTGTTAATTAAAAGAATCCAAAAAAGAGGAGCCAGTTCCTTTTGTGTGGAGATGTGGGAGAGGGTCATTTTGGGGGTTAACCTCATCCCCTCAGACCCTGTGCCCTGCGGCGCTTCAACCTTGTTTCCACGTTTCACCACTGAGCCGTCAAGCTGCACTTGTGTACCTCAACATCGGGAGAAGCCATTGGGTCAATGTGAGGAAGAGGACTGAGAGGCACTCATCTCTCTCTTTTTTTCTCCTTTTCCCCCCTTTTCACCTCCCCTGGTTGCATCCATGTCAGCCCAAACCCTCCAGGCTGTCTTTGACAGGGGAAGTGATCAACTTTATTTATACACTTATTAGGTGCTCAGACAAAACCCTCTCATTGTGAGTGGCGGGGGTAAAGGGTTTATGGGGCTCTGCTTGCCAGTCTGTGTTAAAATTCTCACGTTTGATTGCCACTCATAGGCAGCGAAGAGACGGGGCCATTCCTTCACGTCCTTAAAGTTCAGAACCTGTGCATCTTTAGCTCAATAACGTCAGTGTTAATTCAGCTCACAGACCTGGCACCCATAACGTCTTCAGTGGTCGTAGCTTTTCATTAAGCGTGTTGCTGGTTTTGAAAAAGCAAATTGCGTTTCTACATCGCTTAATTTTTTTTCCCACTTTTTCAGTAAATTCTTTTGTGATGTTCTGGTTTCTGATTAGAATGACTGATAGATCTAATGAAATAAAAGAAGTAAATAAGTTAGAGTTGAGTTACTTGAGCACAGACGAGGCAATTCAGTTAAGTGTTCTTCGTAGGTGTTCCTTATGTTAGGGTTGGCTGGATCAGCTGTCCTTGCTGTGACACTTGTGTGCTTTTTATTGACAATAGTACACTTGCTACTAATTGGTAATGTGCAGGAAGTACAGTCGGTCTCTTCTCTCGTCTGTATGCGCTTGGCTGTTTGGTTTTCTTTTTGTCTGGGAACATTCATCTGTTCTTGGCCCCAAAGGGAAAAAAACATAAATTCACAAAGAAAAGGACAGTCAAATATTTTTGCCCCAAAACATTTAGCCTTTTTAGTTAGTGTTATATGATGTGCTCTTGCAAACAAAGCTCCACGGTGGATTTGTCCCTTTAGAGGTGATGTCATTCTTGGTTTGTTTTGTTTCAATATTGCGTGAGAGTCTAGCCACTGCTTTTTGGAGCAGATTTCTGCGCTTAAGACAACACAGAGGAGGAATACTCATCAAGATGTTATTCTTTCTCATATTGTCAGGGGAGATACTCGGTGAAATATCCCTTCAGTCAATCGTTGCTCGACTGGTGGGAATTTGAAACGCCAATATTATAGCCAGTTTTAGTATATCCTCTGTCAACTATTTGAAATGGTGCAATAAATGTTTTTTCAGCTCCCAAGAGTGAGAGTTCACTTGCTCTTTTTAGGAGGACAAAAACCCCAATATGTAAATAAATGCTATCATTTTATTTCTGTATATGTTGTAAATGTGATTGCAAAGGGACAAAGAGTATAGTTGTGATAGATTTGGGGGATATGGACACAGCTTCTCATGATTTCTTGATCAGTATCTATGCAAATTTTTCTTAAATAATAATTTCTACCTTGTTCTTTTTTGTAGAAAATAATTTGGTTATTTTGTGTAATTGCTAACAAAAAAGCCCTTTTGTTGATTTGTTATATGGTGAAGCACTGTGGATTCTACGTAAAATACAAAACCGCAGCATAAAAAGCAATTAAAATGTTCAAACTAATCTCAGGATGAGTATCGCAATACTGCCCAACCCCAGCAGCGCCTACACTGACTCAACTAGTCCACAACTGTGCAAATAGTTTTGTATAAATATTTGGTTCTTTTGTGTGCAGCGCACTTACTTTCTAACAGTCAAAAGATAATTAAGTGCGACGTGACGGCACAGTTCTTATCAGTGCCAGGCAAACAGAGATACACTTATAAGTCCGTGTTTGTGATAAGGTCTACTGGTTACACTGCTCTCTCCTGCTCTAGAGAGCTGACACCAGCACGAGGAAGTACTTTTAATTTAGGAGAGACACAGAGAGGAAAACTCCATTCAGCCCGTGTAGCTCTTTTCAGACTCAATTGGTGTTGCATGTAAGCGTCTCTTGATTCAGCCATGTCCAGCTGCTCTTTGTGTGTCTCAGCACTCGACAATGGAGCAGATAAGAGGACCTCTGCAGGGGATGAGCAGCTCCTCTGGCTCTTATCACACCAAGCTTACCTACCCTGCCTCAGTGCTGTTGTTCTCTCTACCAGAACAGTATTTGCATGTGGGTTTTCAGTTCAGGTGCCACTGAATATAATGTTGTGTTATTATTAAGTCTCAGTATATTCAGATTGGAAGATCTAAGATCTAAAAGCAAGACAACTTTAGTTTCATTCTGCAACAGCCTTGTCTCTATTGCTGATATCCCTTGGGGTCTGAGCCAGGAGACTCCTGTAATGAGTCCCTGCTGAATGCTCACATTTTCAGTCCTGGTTTTGGATTTGGGAGCTCATTAGTCAGGTTACCTTCTACTATAGACCACCACTGCACTTATGGATCCTGCAGGTGTACAGAAACCTCATTGTGGTCACGCCTCATTAGAGAGATGATCAAGCCTTTGTTTGAAAATACAAAGTATGTCATGATACAGGTTATGCTTCTGCTGCCTGGGGAAAAAGGCAAACAAATGTAAGGCACAACTACAGAATCAGTGGTGAAGTTTGCCTTGTTTTGGTTTAGGCATCAGTTTTAGGCAAGTCATAAGCAGTAGATACCAACACATACTTAAACTTGATGACATTATTATATTGTGTTGAGTAAACGCACACGGTCGGCAGTCATTCTTAATTGTTGGCTTCATTCTTTTGTTCTGTTTCCTTTGTTTGTTTTTTTTAGATGACACTAGCTCTTTCTGGAATCAGCTATCCCTGCCATCACCTGAGTGTTTGTCGAAGGTCCTCGCCAGCTAATGCCCAGGAACCCACAGAAGAGGTAAATTGACCTACGTATGCCACCGCACGCTTCTGAGTTATGCATTTCATCCCCTAGGCAACTTTCAAGCATCAGACATGCTCATGAAATGCTTCTTATTTACAGTGTGCGGATGTCCATATGATCAGCGACAGTGAGGGTGATGATTATGAAGACGCATCAGAATTTGGTGTGGATGATTCAGAGATGTTTGGAGTGGGCTCCTCGAGCTGTAGGAAATCACCTATGAGTACGTAATGTGAACCACTTGTAGAACTCAGTTATAGCAGCCACTGTAGTATTAACCTCCAGATACAGCATGTAAAGCCTGACCATATAATTATTTTTGTCCCTTTTGCAGTGCCAGAGAATAGTGAAAATGAAACTGATGCCTTAATTCACTTTACTTCTGAATTCTCTTCGAGGTGAGCGGTTGTTATGCTCAATTTAAAATGGCTTTGAAACCTGACAAAGCTGGATAGTAACAATGTTTTAAATAAGAGTCGTGTGTGTGTGTGTGTGTGTGTGTGTGTGTGTGTGTGTGTGTGTGTGTGTGTGTGTGTGTGTGTGTGTGTGTGTGTGTGTGTGTGTGTGTGTGTGTGTATGCGTCCTGTAGATATGGAGAGACCCATCCAATGTTCTTTATTGGGTCTTTGGAGGCAGCATCTCAAGAGGCCTTCCATGGCAAAGCCAGAGATGTAAGTAACCTTTTGGACTATTTTGGGTCTCACAGGAAAATTTTTAATATACTCTGAAAAACTTGTGTTTTTCTTTGAAGCTTCATATTCTTATCCCTTTTAATTTGGGCTGTGCAAGTGATACGAGGTACTGATGTTACAAATGATGGCCTGTCCTTTATCACTGATGTCATTTCTCCTTCATGGAAGAGTCGCTTTTTTCAGGTTTGAGTTTTCTTTGCTTAAGATAACATGACAAAGGAACACAAACAGAGAAGGATATTATTAATTCTGTCAAGGGAGATACTTTATTTCTCATAACTTCTCTTTTGTTACTGGGCTGGGGGAAATTTAAAACGCTAATATAATCAGGAACTTTATTCACCTGGCCTACATTTTTTACATTTGGGTTAGAGTTCATTGTTAAGTTGGGGAAAGCTAGATGAATCTGGTTACCATTATAGATGGATGCATAGGGTAATCAGAGATCACTGACGCCGTGCTGCTGGTCTGTTGCACACATAATTCAGTCCGCTTATGTAGAATGATATCTATGGAGATCTCATGAGACACAACTTTAAATATAAGTCATTTAGTTTTAGGCTTAATGCCAGTAAAACCAATCCAATCCAACCCAACTTTATTTATATAGCACTTTAAAACAACACAGTTGACCAGAGTGCTTTCCAATAATAAAACAGATAAAAGTTAAAAACCATACACTAAGCAGACAAAGAAATAAATATAAATAACAGTAAAATAAATACATAAATGAAAATGATAAAAATAAATCAGTATATATATATTAAATATTAAAACATGAGTAAAATAGACAATAAAATATACAATGAATAAAATTAACAAAATAAAAAAGATTAAGAGCAACAGCTGACTACAAACTGACTCTGGTACTACTCCTAAAAAGCCTTTGAAAAAAAGTGCGTTTTTAAAAGTGATTTAAACATTTCAAGTGTTGGGGCCAACCTAATATGGAGGGGCAGTTTATTCCATATTTTGGGGGCCACAACAGCAAAAGCTCAGTCCCCCCGGTGTTTCAGTCATCTATAATAGAGGTAATGGAGACCTGGTAATATTTTCATCTCTAATTATTTCCTCTCTTTATATTTTGTTTCCAAGAAGTCAGACTTCATCATAATTCTTTAAAGTGGTCTTGACCAATAGTTCCCCAGGTCCTCTTAAGGTCTCCTCGGTTTTTCTTTGGCCATTGTCTCGTTTTCAGTCCAGTCCTTATACTTGACCATTTATAGAGAAATGTTTTTGGTTTTGTTTTTTTTGTTTTTTGTTAAACTGCTCAACAGTGACCTAGAAATCATTCAACCACAAAAGGCACCCAACTTAAGGGATGAACCAGTGATGTGTCTACACATAACGGACAACTGGGCAAATAACCAATATGAAATTATGCTTTTAAGCACTTTGTTACTAGCAGCTTGTTGCAAAAAGCATGTAATGTGTTCCCATTTGTTTAGCTGAATTTATGAAACATGTCAAAAGTACCACAATTTGATGAGCATAAACAGCATCTTTACACTAACAAGGTGTTTCCCAACTGGCTTTTGGGCCTGGACAAGTGGAGGCCAATAGACAAAGCGGTAAGCCTGAAAATAACTATCTATACGAGGGATGTATCTGGAACTTCAGTTGATCCATATGCTGAAGCCTTATCAGAAATGGTCTCGGTGGATGTGTGGCTGTTAAAAAGCCATTCTTAAGGAATGGAAACAGAGAAAAAACCCTGAGGTGTGCCAAGAACTGGATGAATATTCAGTGGCAAGAGGTCTTATAGGGATGAATCCAAATTTTACATTTGGTTTAAATAATCGTTAATCTGTCTGGAGGTGGTCAGAGAGAGATAAAACAATGAGTCTCTATAGCTCGCTGGGAGCTCTGTCGTGGTTTGCAGCTGCATTTCAGTCCGTCGTGTTAGGGATCGTTCCTTGTCCACCATGCAGTACCATCTGGAAAGCGTCTGATTGGCAACGGCATGACAATGATCCCAAACACACTGCCAATGCAGTAACAGCAAACCTTGATGAAAAAGAAAAATGCATAGTGGAACACTATCAAACATGGATTGGCCTCCCCAGAGCCCAGACCACAACAATTATCAAAGCAGCGTGGGATCATCTTGACAGAGAACGGAACAAAAGGCAAAGCCTGTAGAACTATTACTGAGCATTACATTCCAAACAAGATTTATTAGGAGAGTGCATTTTGTTATACACTGTATTTTTGCACATTTTGACATATTGCCAGACAGATTTCACATTTTCCTACCAAAGTATAAAGAAATAAAAAGTGGCTCAAGACTTTTATTGAGTATTTCTTGAAACTTGAACAATTGGAATATCAGCATGAACAAAACTTGTTAGACACAGTGTGCTAAGAGTAACTGAGTAAATGATTAGTGTGTGCAGAAGGCATGACGATAATCTATGCCTTACTTTCCATAAACCGTAAAATTACATTTCTTTCTAAAAAAAAAAGTCATTGATGATGGTGATGTTTAATGTATGTACCGTGGATGTGGCTTGATAGCGACACTGATATTAGTTATCAAAACCATCATCACATTTTCACCCCGACAGCTGAGGCTTTATTTTTAGCTGTCCACTTTCCCCCTTGTTTTTCAGCTTTTGTCCTTTTAAGGATGCTTGTATCAACGGACAGCTTGTGTGGATTACAGCCTTATTAGACTGTGAGGACACAGCAAGATGTTCTGGGGGTTCAGATCACCAGGCACACAAAGAGGGAGGGTGAAAAAGATGATAGCAGGGCCACAAAATGAAGGACATGGTCTTAAAAAGCAGCGTGGAGCACAAGAGAAAGTTGGACGAAAAAAGGCTGTGCGGGATGAAAGAGAAAAATAAGCAAATGTGATTTTGGGGGATAAAAGAAAGGGAAGGAGAGAGTGTGAAATAAACAGAGATGTAGAAAAAAATCTAAAGAGAAGCTTGGCATTTTGCCTGTTTCCCAGCTGATCTCCTCTCCTAAGCCAGCACAATATGGCTGATGTCTCTCTGGTGTTCACACACAGTACTGTACCACTGTGCTCTAAACAGCATGAGGGCAGAATAGTATTCATTTCCACTGTATTTTGTTTTATTCTGGGTGAGCTTGATTTAGCCTGCCAACTGTGCTGTGGTTAAAATGGCTTTGGAGAAGCTGGATATGTGCAAAGATGTTGCACGAAAGCAGAAGCTATTTGATCTGTTCTGTGTTTGTCCTGTTTTGTCACAAACATCTGAGATGACAGGCCAAAACAAGCTGCTTTTCACGGTTTCATTACACCGTAGCATATGTGCACAATTACACCGTCCCCTCTTCCATCTATCCGACAATCCCATCCCTTGCTCTTTCGCTTCCATTTGAAAAGCAATCTAGTATTTGTGTCCTCGTAGTAGAAAAAGCCTACTTCATTAAGGGTATATTAGAGTAGGGCAGGTTTGACTGAAGGGGTTTTTTTAAACAGAGGAATCAGTCTCACTCTCTCATAGCCTGGGAGAGGCTAATCACTAAGCAAAACACTACATTTGATGAAGTGTTTCTGAAGGTGTGTGTTGGGGGAATGTTGAGATAGACTCAATCCATCCTTAATGAAAATGCTTTGGGCTGCTGAGCTGAGCTGAGCTGAGCTGAACCCTCTTGGGGATCAGTGGTTAGTCAGAGCGTACAGAGAGATAGGCCACCCATCACTAACCACGATCCTCACTAAATCCCCATCAACGCACTGGTTAATCACTCTAACCCCACGCTTTTTCGCTCTCCACTCTGCTCTCATGTCTGCCACACACAAAGACACATCAAAATTCATAGCCTTGCTGAAGAGCGGAGTTGAGGGATTTATCGCTGCCAAGTATCTGCTTTAAAACCCAGCAATAGCCTCGCAGAGTCAAGAGGAAAAAGCAGCGGTCAGTCAGAATGGCATATGGCGCGTAGATGTACATGTATCTCTGTCAGCTTGTGAAATGTTGATCACAAGTGGCTTTGATTAGTTATTGACTGCACCTGAAATGATTACTGTCAGGTGTAAATGGATAGATTAGGGGCTACATCAGTGTAAAGTTTTAGATATTGATATATTTATTCTACATTCTCTTAATCCATCAGAATCATCGATGATCAGGAGCTTGGATAACCATAAGACAGCTCCATCCCTCATGTGTCAGAACAGTTAGATATACTTGTGTGGCCATTACAGTTAAACGTTAAATGTGGTGTGCAAACTCAAACTTGTCCATATTCTTATAGTGTGGACTTTAACTACTTAACTTCAGTTGCGGACTTCATATTATTTCAGTGCTTTCATAATTGTTTGGAAAGACTCTAAAATGTGCCTCATGGCTGCCCATCGATCACAATGAGTTTTCCCACCGTGTAGGTCATTTGAGCTCTTCAATTTGAAGTATTTGCTTTTCCAGACTGAGCCGGTCATCTAAAGAACAATCACCATCTGGATTTCTCTGTCCTTCCTTTCATCTGTACATGTCTGTATCTCATTAACTAGTCTCTCCTGGCTTTGTTCAACACGCTGTATTTGTGATTAAGCCTCTTCTTGATGTTGCAAAAATGTCATCCACAGAAAAAGGGCCCTAATTAAACTAAAAGCTGTTGATCGACTTCAGTTCCACTACACGGTTTCCCTAAAGAGGCTTAAAATAAAATAAAAACAAACAAACAAAAGAAATTGGCAGTGTCACGTTTATTTCTGTTATTGCTCTAAAATTCTGATGGTGGCAAAATAATGTAACATGGATGAATCGTGGCACAAGTTATCTTCTCCTTGACTGCAAAGGCCCCTAACACCAGAGACTGTGGCTTCATGTGGACTAAGACTTTGTGTTTATGGGTGTGCCGTGAGATTTTTAGCAGCAAGTTGTATCTCTTCATTCATGTTTAAAAAGGGCAAAATCATGAAGCTAATTCTGGAGTGATATCAGACACAGCCTGTAATATTGCAAGCTTGCTTGGTTTATTTCATTCACCAACAGAAACTTGGCTATTTGGGTCTTCCCTTCGTAGCCATAGAGACAACCTGATCATGACAGAAACCGATGACATTGTTTTTGATTGTTTCTCTTTATGAATAACTAACTGTAAACTGGCTATATTAAATGTTTTTGAAAGTATAAATGTTTGGGCATAAAGGCACATTTTCTTTTTTTTATTTTAACCCCTGTGCAGACACTTTTTGCAGAAAAGGTGAATTGAAGCTGGACTAAAAATGAAAGTAATAACTGTACAGTGTCCGTAAATCACAGAGCGCTCTGCACACACCTTGGTGTCTGTTGCTCGCAGTTTCAGTCGCCTGAGCTGACAACTTCATTATCTCCACGTGTAAATTATATAAATTAGTCTGCAAATAAAGCCTTTTTAATATGTGACAGATCACATGTTAAATTCACTTTTTATCCTCATAATGAAGGACGAGTCCACCTTTAATAGAACTTGAGTAAATTAATAAATTGTGTTCATCTGTCAGCCCAGACCACATATTATATTATTTACATCCCAGGGTAGGAGATGCTGCTCATTATTAAAAAAACATTTTGGAAGTCCAGTTTATGTAAACCTATATAGTGGAGCAATTAATTAAAAAGGAAAAGTGAAACAAAAGACCTGCATGTTTTATGATAAAAAAAAAAAATGTTTTTGTTTTAAAACGATGGTTAAAAAGTGCCTCATTCAAAGGACCGCCTCATTACGAGAACACATGCTTTTTTTCATATTTATAGACGCACATATTTCATATTTTCAAACTTTCTGCTGGGCCGTCTTCCAAGAAAGAGGTGCACTGATTAAACAGCAAATGAAGCGCAACGCTATTCTACAGTGTGAACTCTTTTGTTTCTCTCACAGCCTCAAAGCAAGCTTAGCTTTAGGTGAACAGGTGTGAGGAAGGGCTATGGGGTCACTATCTAGCTCAGGTTGGACCTAGTAATTTAGCTGAACTGAGGGATTTGCTCCTCCCCGCTAAGACAGGCAATACAAAAGATCTGAGTTGAAAGCGGAGAGGGAACAGAGGGGTACGGACAGTTTAACTAAGATGAAGGAGTTCAGTTTGCCAAAATGCCCACTTTGATTAGTCTTTACACTTGCTCTAATTGAGCATGCATGTGTGCGAGCATGAGTCCCGTTACTCGCGGGCAGCGGAGTTAAGTTTGCGCATCTGTGCGTGTGTGTCGGGGACGTCGGCGTTCGAGTGTGTATCGGGGTTTTGTTTTTTTGTTGGTTTTTTTTTTCACGCTGTAAAACTCTCCCTCTCCTCACACTCATTCCTCTCTCAAGACTGAATTTGCTTGTCTTCTCAGCATGAGTGTTTAATCTTTTCAGGCTGTTGAATCGGCCTAGTGAATGAGTCCCCAGCTCCTTCTCTCTAGGAGCCCTGGAGATTATTCTAAAGCACTAATCGTTGAGCAAACACAGCAGTGCTCTCCCATTCCTATTCTACACAGGCCACAGTATAGCACAACTTCTTCTTTCCCTTCTCCTCACGTTTTACGCCCTGTGTAGATTTTTCACTTTTTGGCGCACGTAGCCTAGATTACTGTTCCCGAGGAACAGACCCCTTAACTCCCCTTTCACAGCCGTGGGTAAAAATGAACTAAGCAGAGAGTGCGAGTTTTTCTTATTTGTTCTCTTATAGCAAGAGAAGTGACATGTAATTTAAAGAGCATTATTTCCAACATTGTCCCCTGGAACCTTTTATGTTTGTGGGTGTGTTTGTTTTTTAATTAGATTGTCAGTAGGGAGAATCTACCAGGCTTATATGATGGTGTCAATATCCTTGGATTTGGAGCTTCGTCAATATTGTCTGGCCCTGCCGCTACTAACCTGAACAGGCTGCTGGCATTTGGTGTAAAATAAATAGAGTGATTTGTCTGTTTTGTTTTCTCCATATCTTTGTCGCCTCCAAGCAAAGTTTTATTTACACCGCTCTCCATTTTATTTTGCGTGGTATTTGCTTTTTTGCCAGTTGTGGTCCTACCGTGGTCTTTAGAAGTCCTGCTAGCTCTGCGCCCAGTCCTCTCTGCCGGTGGTCTTGTTATGTTCATGTAATATGGACATGTCTCTCCAATAATGAGACGCCTAGTGCATGGCTGACAGAGCTGCACCGATCACAGATATGACATTTATTATATTGGGGAGTGATGAGTTTTAGCTAGTCAAACTTCTTCCACAAAGTCAACTGTATACTTTGGTGTTTGGTTCCACCTATTAGCCACTGAACAACTGATTGAAGACAAAAATAAAGGATCAGCTGCAGTGACCCTTTGCCTTACCAAATGTCCTAGCACAGTAAGAGGTGCAGTTTGCTCCCACTCTGATTTTCAAACTGTTTCTCTCCACAGAGAAAGCTGCTGGCTATCTACCTCCACAATGATGACAGTGTTCTCAGCAACGTCTTCTGCTCCCAAATGATGTGCGCTGACTCTATCGTCTCTTACCTGAGCCAGAACTTCATCACATGGGCATGGGATGTCACTAAAGAAGCTAACAAATCCAGGTACAATGTTAGTCAACCAGCACGCTTGGAGTGCGATTGAATACGTATCTTATTCCAAGAATCCTATTGTTTAATGAGTCCATTTTTGCGTAATTCATTTGTGTAAATAAAGTTTTAAGCTCATCTTGCGATGTTTGAGTTGTCGGATCAAATATTTAAATTGTAGAAACTGCAGCTACTCGTGAATTCTGTTGCAAAGCTAAATCTGGCTGTGTTTTCTGGTTGCCAAATCTGACTGTGATGCTATAGCTAGGGGAGAAAACAGTTTGGTCAGTGAGTATGATGGCTAAACGGTAATAAAAAAAAAAACCTAAGGTTTTAAACACTGAATTAATTCTCTGGAGATCCGGTAGTCTATCAGAATCATGCTGTATTTAGAATTGCTTTAGCCAGCTGTAAAGTTTAGTAATGCAATAAGAGAACCTTTAAGCCCTGACTGCATCCTTAATCCTTATGTTTTATTTATATGTGACTTACTGTCCGCAGGAGCCGACTGTCTGCATAAATACTGAGGTGTATCTAATAAAGAGGATATTGAATGTATTTCAGCGGGAGAGAAGCTTGATCATGAGCTGAGGGCTTTGTGAGCTGTCAGAGTCCTCTGGTTGGGAAGCAGTCTGTTGCATGCTACTATCTTGTCCCCGCATTATTGTTCTGAATAGTTTTCTTAGAGAAAGTAAATTTAGTTTTCAGTCGTGCCTTCATCCTGCTGTTGTATTTTTTTTTTGTGTGTGAAGCAAGAAAATCTTGGACTTTAGAGAGTGAATCCTGCATATTTTGGGTAGCGTTTAGATAATAATCCAGAAATGCTAGTGTAGGTGGAATCCTATCTGGCAAATGAACAGTGTTTAAAAATCGGTTTGACACATCCGTAATTGCTGGCATTCATCTTTCACTCCATTACTCGTACTCTGTATCTCTTTCTTCTCATTCTCTCTTCAGCCTCATTCTCTTTTTGAAGCTTGGAGGTTGCATGCTAACAAAAGGCGTTGTGTTTGCACGGTGAGGCCCCTGATTGGGCAATCTTGACCAAACTGTCTGAATAGAGGGTCAGTGGGAGATGAAGGACTCCGTTGGAGTCCAAACATCTCTATCTCTCCAATTTATCCTGAAAGTCCTAGCTTAGCTCCAGCACCCTGTGTTGGTATTTTACAACAACACCTGTTTATTACATTGGTTCAGTGAGTGAGATATATATTTTTAACAGACTATTAGATCTCTTGCAGGTTCAAGTGTTGAACAGAGGACAGGTTTAGGTAAATTTGAACCTTTGTTTCACATTGTAAACAAGGAATGCTTCATGTATTTCATCCTTGCCTTCATCTTTAATACTACATATTTTACTTGTTTCCTTTCTGATATTTCTTTATTTCTCTTCTATTTAATCAGCTACCTCAGCTCTCTCACTCTACCCTGAACCTCCAGAGTTAAGCCTGCCCTCTGGTAGCAGTCATTGAGAAAGACTCGCACCCTGACCTCAGCTCTCCATTATTTCTTTTAAGGAAACTCCCTCCTTTCCTCATTCCGCACTCCTTTCTCTCCCATTGGCCTCCTTTGCTTTTTGCCCCAGCTGGGCCTTTTTATTGCACGTTAAAAAGGAGGCAACATCTGGAGCTTTTCATCACACACAGCTAGTCGCAGCTTTGCTGCTAACGCATGCATGCACATGTGCGCACTAACTCGCTCACACATCCAACTGCTGCTCGGCATTCTCACGCTCTTTAGCTGATCTAAAGTGACTGGTGATTGGCATCAGTCACACAAGCTGTTAGAAAGGTATCCTGATTATGTGTGCGTGCATTTGTGTGTGTCTGTGAGCGAGTGATAAACCTGCTGATATTGGAATGTGCCTGTTGCTTAGCTTAATCTATTCTCACAGGCCTACCAGTTAAATGATTAATTATGCATAAATGCAGTGCTGCTGATTGGATGCCAGTGTAATTGTCACTCGTGGGAAATGAATCTGATATATCGCCGAGGCAGTATACTGTCATTGCACATGTAAGTAAATAAACACATTGAAAGTCGATTATTTGTGTTGTGTGCGCATTCTCATAATACATTACAGTGTAAGAATATGCACTAAGGTGACCTTATGTTGACACTAGATTTAGTGTTTTAAACATTATACAGACCTGGCAGTCTAATGTGATTACCCGTTTGGTCTATAGCAATACAGGTGATCTTATTAGAGAATAAAATAAAAAAGAATAATCCTTTAATTGTCCCACAAGGGGAAATTTGGTTGTAACAGCAGCCAAAAAGACACATATACAAACAAACAGTACACAGGACACAGAACAGAAACATACAGAAACATACAGAAACAATTTTTCTTACAAATTTCATATTTACTAGCCTTTAAGTGTAAACTTGTGTCTTAACTGCTCAAGGCAGGAACAGACCGTTGTGCGAACCTGTTCTGTACACTCGACTTCTTCTCTTGACATAGTCTTCCCTGAAAACATAACTCGTTTGGTGGGAGAACAAAATGTCATTTTCAAATCAAAACATGTCCATGTTCACTCTGAAACAAAGTGTGTATGACACAGTGAGCTATCAGAGCATCCGGTTCCCATACTGCACACGTACAGGTGGCTGGCAAAAATATTCCCTGCAGTGCTACTGTACTACCCTGACTCATCAGCTGCTCAGTGGAGCAGACGCCAGGTCTAACCGGTCTACTCGCATCATAGTGCATCAGTTTGATTTGAAGAAGTGCAAGCTGACAGTCCAGGAAAACATTTACTGTTATAGCTGTCGGGATCCGCAGTGAGAAAATAAGCTGGGATGGGCAACAAATTAGAATCTGTCAGTCACATTAGCCACCGAAGCATTTAATGGTAGTTGCAAATTCCATGCAGGTGTTTCTTCTGCATTTAGTTAGCCATAAAGGTTTTTAAAGGCCGCAGGTTACTATGTTATATTAGGGCTAGATGAGACAGGCCGAACTGTGCAGCTCATTTCCTGGAGTGACTTCCTCCTGACATTAAGTGTTGTGGCCATACTTATTCTTCTTTACGTAATTCCATAAGGGCTTCGTAGTTCTTCCTGTTTCCTAGTTTCGGTGTCCGTCTTACCCTAAACGATAGTGGTTACAAAGTACATGTAAGTTGTGTTTTGAGATTGTGCTGTTTTTATGTTGTTGTGATTATGATCATCATTGTGCTGAACTGACTTCCTTAGTTTAGAGTTAGAAACCAAAGCAGGTTAGCCTGTGCTTGATTAGAGGTTTAAGATTGGGTTACCCTTCAAGTTAGTGTCTATTGTTCCCTGGCCTTTCATTACAGGTTAGAGTTTCCCTGTGAGCTTTTGTTATATTGTGGCTGGGTTGAGGTCTGAACAGGGACAAATGTCAGAACAAAATGATCTAAGATTTAGGGTACCCACGTTTTTCATTGCAAGGTGTGGGTCACACAAAGTTCAACATTTGGAAAAAGTTTTTGTCTGCATTGTATTCCAAAGCTCATTTCATTCATCTTTCAGTCCAACGTCCACACTTTAGCTGGTTTTGGCATGATTATTACTACTACTGCTATTGTCCTATTGACTGGAAGTACTCGATTTCACCGTTTGGAAAGTCTGCAAGTAGCTCCCGCAGCTTTGGCTTCATCTTTTAATGAGTTACACCCCCTCTCAGACAGCATCCGCTCTATCTATCTTCTTCCTCTGACCTGCTGTCCCGCCATCCATTCCATTACCTCTCTATTTTACCAGGCAGTTATTAAAGGCAGGAGAAAAAGCTAATCTATATTTGCATTCAGTCTATAGCAATTCATTAATATTATGACATTTACAGGGAGCTTGGCGGGGCTCCGACTGCCTGCTACCCTTTTCCCTCTCTGAAATGTTAATTTAAAAAGTTCTGTCTTTGTAATGGAATAAGAAATCCTCTCTTGCCCTATCAATTCTGGGTGTCTGGTGAGGAATACTAATTCATCTGTGGTTCCAATTGAGATAGCAGAATTGGTTTTAAAGTCTTTAATGCCACAAGTTGTGTGTATTTCTCTTTTGTGCTGCAATCTGAAAAGCACACACCTCCCAGTGAAAATATGTGCACGAATACTTTATCGCTCTTTAAAATTGTTTTTATTGCAGGCTTAAATATATGCTTATTACCAAAGGAACAAGCAGGTAAAGTAAATAAATTGGGGGGGGAAAGTGAATTAGATAAATTTCTTTGTCTTCCAGACTACTCACTATGTGTACGAGGCACTTTGGCAGTGTGGTGACACAGACCATACGGACATACACGACAGACCAGTTCCCCCTGCTCCTCATAGTCATGGGGAAACGCACATCCAATGAAGTTCTAAATGTTATTCAAGGTAATTCTCATTTTATTCATCGTACAATTAACTCTGTTTTCTGTAATTATCATGAAAACAAACTCTTTTATTGCCCTGATTTTCTTTTCTAATTCAGGCAATACAACAGTGGATGAGCTGATGATGAGGTTAATGGGAGCAATGGAGATCTTCACAGCACAACAGCAAGAGGACATTAAAGACGAGGTAAAGCTTGAGCGGAATCAGACAGTCTGTTCGCAGGAAACAAAAACATCAGCCTCTGATCCTTAAAGATGGAGAAAAGACTTTATTTCTTTGTTCTTTCAATAACTACTTGGTTCATTATGGACCATTTGCTCTTTCAAATGGAAACATATGCTCGTGTTTCCTTGTAATGCTGTTTAACAGTAGCTAGGAAAGTTGTACAAAACTGCTGTTGACTAAACTAACCAGTTTGCTACTATCTATAGTTTCCACTGTATATAGATGACTTCATATTTTTATTTAAAGGAGGTACTGTGGCCTGGGGAGCACTTCCAAGTATACCAACCGAATTCTCAAATGTACAGTTTTTTGTGAGAGTCACGCTTTTGACATTAATGACATCGTTTCAAGCTAAAGCCGTGCTTTATTGGTTGGGATAAGTTGCAGACTGCCAGAGGTTTCTTCCTGTTAAAAGGGAGTTTTTTTTTTCTTCCCACTGTCACCAAAGTGCTTGCTCATAGAGGGTCATATGATTGTTGGGTTTTTCTCCGTATGTATTATTGTAGGGTCTACCTTACAATAAAAAGGGCCTTGAGGCGACTGTTGTTGTGATTTGGCGCTGTATAAATAAAATTGAATTGAACTTCTACCATTTATCTTATTTTAGTTGGCTAATCTCAGTGGCTCCAGTAACTGGACCAACTTTTAACATTGTGCAATAAATTGCAACAGCACATCAGAAGGCACTGTTAAAATATGGCTTTTGTTATAATGACTCGAGAACCATTCAGCCATTTCATCCCCTTTAGTTATCAACTAGAGTCTGGCTACTGCTAACGTATCTGTTGACCTCCTTTTACCCAAAGAGAAAATGTAACTAAAACATGATTAAAACATTCCTTCCATAGAAATGATAAGGTGGAGCTAGCATTTTGTGTCCTTCCCACGAATCTTAACAATATGAGACAATGCATCAGTCACTTACAACGAACTTAACTAATTTATTAACTATCATCTCATATGTTCACTCAAATCCTTTTGACATGAAAAACACTGTAGTTACTTTTAACTTAATGGTCCTCATAGCTTAGTTTAGACATTCCCAAACCATGTGAGTGCCATGGTAACTGTTGTAAAGGATATGTGAATATTACTATGGTTAAGTCTATAATTGAAAACTGACCTGTGTGACTTGAAGCTGACTTGTTCAGATTAATAAAAAACAATAACACATTACTAAGCTTTAGAGTAATTTAATCAGCACTGGTGTTTAGTCTCTTAGTATGTCGCCGAAGTTTTGGTTGTGTGAAATCTTTCGTAGCTGCCCTTTCCACTTTTATGCGCGTTTTCCACGGATTTTTGTCAGCCCTGACTACACTGTGCCTCTTTTTTGACTACTGTATCTATAGATGACAGATGTCAAGCTGTGTTAGGTTCAGCCATTATGTTAAGTCAACCAAACAGCCTTTTTAGCAATTCGCAGCGCTATTGTGGGAGTCATAGCATCTCAGTTATGGGAATCGTGGCTGAGGAATGAGTTGAGTTTCACACACACCCTGAGGGTCAGACTTGCTCAGGTGAGCTGTGCCCTGCTGAGTGACAGCTACTCTCTCTGTGTTGTTATAACGTCTGTAATGCTCTGGCTTTGTTGTGGATTTGTCACTCTTAGTCGCTCGTCAAATAATCATTAATGATAGGATTTAAAACAAGAAATATTCAGAGTTTGTACATAAAGTGTTGGATCCTGGGGTTCTTTTCTTTTACAGGATTAGTGCCGGTGCTCTGTGTGTGTGTGTGTGTGGTTGTGTGTGTGTGTATGTGTGTGTGCCAAAAGAATAGTACTATTACCAAAATTAAACACTATAAAAATGAAGTAATATATGACTATTTATTCATTATTAGTACCATCAACCTCAAGATTTTCACTGACAAACCTCATTTTCACGGTACCTGCTTTTGGGTGCTGGTGTATATGATTCTTTCCCTGTGTCTCGTCCTTCTTCTTCCATTTTTCTCCTTTCCAAAGACAAACTCAGACATGAACACAGACACCCAGACATTCCTCTTTGACAGCGACTTTTGTGTCAGTCTGGAATCGGAGCAGCTGGAAGGCCACATTGTGATTTCTACCAGCCGTACTGACTCGCCAGTCATTTGTATGGTTTTCTGTGTTTTAGCTTAGTAGTTAGTAATCAAATGACTACTCGATGCAATTTTGTGGTCTACATCTGTCAGCATTTCAGGGTTGTTGTTTTTTAAAGGTCGTTTTCGGGTCATTAAGCATGGATTTCATAGGAAAACTAGCCAAAAACTAACCATTGTGCAGTTTGTGCTGATTTGGTTGAAGAGTTTTATATAAAAAGAGTATACATTTGAGTCGAGTTTCATGGTTAGGTGAACTAGTGTCCACAGAAAGGATCTGATTTAAGCCAGGGCCCTCTGTTTGTTAAGTGACAGTGCGCATAAAGGCTGATATTGCGGTCCAAAAGGAAATAATTGGATATAAAATTTGCCCTCTGGCAAGTAGAGCTCAGCCACTTGGTTCCAAAATTAAATTGCAAAAAAACCCAACCCAAAAACCGCCATATAAAGCGTCTTTCACTAGTTGTTATTTGTGAGCAAACATTAAATATGTGACAGCTTGCTTTTCTGAACACCAAGTGTATCATCACGACTAAAAGACGGCACACGTCTTGCCAACTTGAACAGTAGCCAAGATATAGTTGTGGAAAATCTGTTTCTTTTTTCCTCCAAAGTTAAGGCCCTGAAAATCACATGGTGTTTGAGCATGTCAGATAAACATTTCCCTTCATGCCTCCTCACTTTAGGTTATTCAAAGTGTTTGAAAACATTCAACAGCAGGTCAAATGAATGTAAAAATGAATATCAAACATGAACTACTGTGCGACTTGTTTGCGTGACTCGGGGGCAATCTATTGAAAGTAGCCACTTTTGATGCTTTTGTCCCTCTGTGCCATTCTTTTACAGTTTCCTTTCAAAGTTCATCTATTATGTAGCCCAAAAGCACAAATGTATATTTGCATTTTCCAATTCAGTGCAACAATACACACTGTCATTTTGCTTAGCCGCTGCCTGGTTTCACAGTAGCCCTCTGATCATCACAATAAGCTTACTTTGCCATATCCGGGCTGACACACAGCGTGGGCCTTCAGAAAATAGAAAACTAATGGCTGTGCGCTGTTAACACAATGGACACTTGTATTTAGTCCCAGTCTTTATAAAACACTTTGTAGCCACAGCAGGTAGAAAGAGAAAGGCCGCCTGTCCCTTTCCCTCTGTACAAACAGGAAGAGAGGCAGCGTGAATAAAAGAAAAAGGGAGGGTGAAACTGAGATGAGGAAACATAAAAGGGGCTCGGGGTCTGGTAAATGACAGCCCAGTCAGAATGAATTCCCTTCTGTTGCTACTCTTTCATACCTGGTGTTTGTATGTAGCCGCACTTGACATGCTGTTTTCTGCTGCTAGCTTCCACAGCCGGCACTTCTGCTTAGATGTTTTGTCCTCGTGTATCCTTTATTATGCTGCTAGTTAATGGGACCGACTTTCTTTCTTCCCCTCTCTCCACTCAGGACGAGCGCGAGGCAAGGGAGATGGTGAAGAGAGAACAGGACGAGGCCTATCGTCTGTCTTTAGAGGCTGATCGTAAGAAGGTACTTTCAGAATAATGCAGTTGTGATCAGAAGTTGACGCACACTTATCATGGGCATGAATGTCATGTAGGTTTGTGCTTTTAATGATTCCTACGAGTTGGTCCTCTTCCAGGGTAGAATGATGGCACAGCATACATCTGTAGTGACTTTCACAAACAAGAACTGGGTGCACAACTTTGAATTTAATTTGTATTTTCTCTAATCCACATGGGGTAAAATGTCTGTGTGTATATATAGGCTCAAATATATACACCATGTCCACTAGCAACTTTGACCAGACACTAAAAAACAAACTTTTGGCACAGTTATGGATGGATATTTGACCACCCTTCTTAGCAGAATTGAAGAAGTTCATTTAAGTTGGTTGGTTTTCTTGGTACAGCCAAGCCCCACCTTTTAGTCCACGAATTTTAAATAGGGTTGAGATCGGGGCTTTGCAAAAGCCATCCTAGCAGCTTAATGTTAGCCTGTTTTATCCGTTTTAAAACCAGGGATCATTGTCCTACTGGAACACCCAATTGCTTCCCAGTTTGAACTGTCCAGCTGTTGATTTGAGGTGAAGTTGAAGAATTTGGAGGTAGTACTCTTCCTTCATTGTTCCATCCACTTTTTACAGTGTAGCAGTACCACTGGTAGCAAAACAGCCCCAGAGCAGAATGCTACCATCACGATGCTTGATAGTTGATACAGTTCTTAGGTTTAAGCCTCAGCTTTATTCATCCAAACATACCTCTTGCTATTTTGGTGGAATAGTCAGTCTTTTTCTTGTCTGACCATAAAGGTTTGCGTCATAATACAGCTGGGTTGTCCATATGTGCAGCTACAAACTGTGGACAGTGATCCTAGTGATGCTTCCAGACCATGAGAAAGTAAAAACTTGTATTTATATACAGGTGTTTAAACTCCTCTAGTGATCTTGGCAGTTGTTTAGAAATGGCCGATTAAGCTTCTGGTAGGATGTACTCAAAGCCCTGACCTCAGCCCTATTCAAAATTTGTGAACTATGCTTAAAAGTCGGGTCTGTGCCAGCAAACCGGCTAATTTAAATGAACTCTGTAGTTCTGCCAAGAAGACAGAATTATGCCAGGAGCTTGTTGATGGCTACTAAAAGCATCTGGTCGAGTTTCAACTTGCTAAGAGACATTTAACTAAATATCATCGGGGATGTATGTATATATTTGACCGTGTGTGGATTAGAGATAATCCAAAGTATGTTCAAACGTGTGCCCAGTTCTTGCTTTCGAAAGGCATTAAAGATGTACAGCGTACAGTCATTCCAGCCTGGAAAAAGGATAGTTCAAATCCGTTCATGCCCCTGATGAGTGTACGTAAACTTCTGACCACAAGTGCACCAGTTATCTTTGTGTATCACTGTCAGTTCTTAAGTGTTGTTTTTGAAGCATAGTATTAAAATCAAAATGAACCTCAAACATCAGGTTTAGAGTACAATCTACTCCTACTGTGTTACTCGGTTTAGTTGAGGTGTCGTAAATAATAAGAAATGCCTTATTGTTGTTCAGTGAGATCATAATGAGCCAGTGTGTGTACAGAGCAGCTCATTTTAACTTTAAATTATGCTGTGCTTGTGCAGACTACAACTTGCGTGTCTAGAACAAAGTTTTTGTTGATCAGTCAGTTAGTTTGTCAAAGCAAAGTAACAGAAATGAATCCAATTAATGATTTGTTTATGTTTTTGGGGGGTTTTTTCAGAGAGAAGCCCAGGAGAGAGAAGAGGCCGAACAGTTTCGCTTGGAACAGATGAGAAAGGAGCAGGAGGAGGAGAAGGAGGTGAGTACGACAGCCATAATTATACTAATTATACAGCAAACATAGGTAGCCAAAAGTGTCAGTTAGTTACTAGTTAATTCGTACCGAACAAGTTTGCTATTATTCCACAACAGCAGCTCATAATTCGGTTGAATTAAAAGAGAATTTTGGACTCGAGCACATTTCAAAATGATCACATGAAAATCTACTATTAGCTAACGCACTAGTAGTATGATTTAGCAGGGCTGTACCATTGTGCTGTTGTTTATGTCCCTTTTCTGCTTACTCAATAGTAACTCAATTAAATTGTGGTTTTGGTGGAATCTGCCAGTCAGTGAAGCCTGTGTTGTGTCAGTATACAAGCACACAGCCATTTCAGAGAAATTAAATATCCTAATTACAGCAAGGCCGATCCCCATTAATGTCACCTTCAGTGTACACAGTTATTGTCCTGGTTAGCTTTTTTTATGCTGATATAGCACACAGCCTCATATTCAAACCCGAGTGAATAAAAGAGGCAATTCATGTACACAGACCTATGCACAAACATACACCTAAGTAAACACACATATTCTCTGGAAAACAATTATTGTCTGCAAAGACGGGGCAAGCGCACACACACGCGGCGGACACAATGTCACGCACACAGGAAAACAATAATTGTCGGTGAGGATGGCACCAGCGTCGTGATTGTCTATTGTAATACAGTGTAGTCCTCGCTGATTGCTGTTTGCTCTGCAGGTCAGAGCCCGAGGGCAGCGAGAGGTATTGGGTGACCCGTCTTGCTCAAATGATTTGTCACTTAAGTTAAACAGACGACAACAAAAGAGCCCTGAACCTGGCCTTCTTAATTATATCACTGTAGTCCACGAATCAAACAGTGCATACATGCTTGTGTATTTTCGACAACAATAGCCGGGATGGCGTTGTGTTTCCTACTTATATTAATTTTCTCTGCTCGAGCTCAAAGGTTTCCATGGCGTCTCCTGTGCTGACGCGCTGTGCTGTGCTACTGTCTAGATATCTATAAATATGAGAAGCAGCAGCAGCTGGTGTACCGAGACAATGGCAACTTAAGTTTCCCAAACTGTTAAAGGATAACTTTATCATAACGTGATCCTGTTTTGTGTACCAGTAGTTCTGATGGACGTCGGTTCAAATACACTACAAAAACCAAATTAACAAACAAACAAAACTGGGAATTCGCTTTCCTTTTATTTAATCACTATTACTAGTTGTGAATTCTTCTCCTAACTGGAGACAAACATGTGAAAACTGATTATACAGCAAACCTAGGTAGCCAAAAAAGTGTCAGTTAGTTACTAGTTAATTCGTACCGAACAAATTTGCTATTATTCCACAACAGCAGCTCATAATTCGGTTGAATTAAAAGAGAATTTTGGACTTGAGCGCGTTTGAAACGAGTAACTTGGATTTTAGCATTTACATCACACATGCTGCTCTTTATTTAAACAGTCTATGGCGGCAACTGGTTCTTTTATCACTCCTCGCTGTGCTGGTGCCAACTTAGTTATCCGTCTCCTTAAGGAAGGCGCGGCGTTGCCTACCACGTGAGCCGTTTTAATTGGAATAATTTATTGTTTGTTTGTTAGTGCTTGTTTACAGTTTTCGGTTGAGTTTACAGTAGAAACTGCAGACACACCAAAAACACCAGTCACCACCGGAGAGGGAACAATGCTAGTGGGAATGCTTTCTCTGTGATTTTATGCCTTTGTGCGAAGAAACGGGAGATGAATATGGGAGCCAGTGAACTGGGGGTTGGGGTGGAGGGCATGTGTGTTTCATGCGCCTGTGTGGACTGGCATTATTATTTACCTCCGTCAGGGGGTCATAGCATACAGTTGTGCGGCTGTCAGGTGCACCTATTTCTCCTGCTCATCGTCTGTTTGCTTTCTGTGGTTAGCCGAGCGGAGCTGGAGAGGCAGGTAAATGGACGGAGAGATGCTCCCGATTATTTGTGCGGCGCTTCCTGGGCCCGAAGCTCGAGCAGACGTGTGCCTCGTGGTTGCTTTGGGGACGCTACCTCTAACTCGCGTGGGCGTTTGTGCTTGTGTCTGTGGTTGACTAGCTGTCTGCATTTGTATGTCCATCACCTCATGCGCTCCTGTCTGTTATTTGTGTGTGCGTATGTGTTAGCTTTGTCCCCAGGGACAGCTTTAACTCAGTCAGCTTCAGTTCTTGTACCTGAGGGAGCTGATGGCGGAGCAGCACGCGCTCCACCCTGCCCACCCAACACCAGAAGCTGCTAATGAGCTACTGTTGTACACTCTTATGAAATATAATTGCATTATGGTGTGTAAATAAAGCCGGGGCGTGTTGTCACAGCATATGCTCCCCGGCTGGCCAAACAGGAACAACAAGCCAGGGGAGGAGGAGGTGAGGGGTAGGAGTAGAAAGGAGACGAAGGCTCCAGGGAGCAGTTGAAACATGGTTTTTGGAGCTCAGGAGGCTTGATTTGCTTTTCTGTGGAAGATGACGGTCAGTCGTCACTCATGAACCCTGCCCTTTAGCGCAGACCCCGTTAGCATCTGTAAAATAAGTGATAGCTTCACATGAAGAAGATCTTCAAAGATCTTCCTCTTACTAGTGAGGGTTTTCCACTATCTGCAGGGGTATTTGACAGTTTTTTTCAGAGAGTGACAGAGCAAACAGCAAGGCAGCATGAAAGAATGAAGCACTTGGCTGCTCTTAGCATACTGATATGCTACTTGGCAACCTTCTGAGCTACAACAGGCTTTAGGGAACAGGGTGAGACACAGGGCAGCTAATTTAATAACATTCTTAGGGCAAGAAGATTGTTTAATTAATGTGAAATAATAGTGCTGCAGTAAGACTCTGAGAGCAACTTCTTGGCTTGCCTTTCATATATGCTTGGAAAGCGTGTCATCATCTTTATCGCTGCCAACGTTACTGTTGATACTCCGGTTTAAGTTCACTGTAAACACAGAGAGAACGAGATGCGTATTTTTACTGAAGTCACTGGAATAATCAGGCTGACTTTGCTGTTTAAATGAAGGGAAGGCAAATAAACGCTTGCAGCAGCAGTGCTGACTGCTGCATCTCACCAACACCTGTATGCAAATCTGTGTTTTCAAATTCATTAATGCATTTAACTGACAAAAACAAAAACGCTGGCTTTTCTTGTTTCAGGCAATCCGCTTGTCATTGGAGCAGGCCCTGCCTCCAGAGCCCGATGAAGAGTCAGGCGAGCAAATCAGCAAGCTGAGAATCCGCACACCAAGTGGCGAGTTTCTGGAAAGGCGTTTCCTGGGCAGCTGTAAGCTCCAGGTTCTCTTTGACTTTGTGGCCTCCAAGGGATACCCCTTTGAAGAATTCAAGCTCCTCACGACCTTCCCTCGAAGAAATGTGAGTGGTTTGCCTCCTCTCTTACAGACACGTCAGAGCCGAAATCGCTTCTCTGCTCCTGTTTTACTGCAAAGTGAGGACGCAGAATAGAAAAACGGCTTTTTCTTTCAAGAGTTTGTTTGATCTTAAAGAACAGGCCACAGTTCCTCTGTGGATTTAGCCATTTCACAGTATTCCTCAGGTAATTAGCTCCAAAAGTTTTGAATGCATTCTTATGTTTTTTTTGTTTTTTAATTGCCCGTATTTATGTCGAGAACATACAGGCAAATAGGGAATGATTTATCGGGATTCTAAATATAGAGCTCCGACCTCTTCTTCAAGGTCAAATAAGGTCAAACATCCATTAAAAGTCTTTTATCTTTAAAAACGTGCCTAAAATTCGAATTTCTTGGCCATATTTTGCATGTCAAATTTAACCCCTGATGTCACTTTAACATTTCATATTTGCAGTTTGTTTAAGTGGACCCAACAAAGTGTTGTGTCTGATGTCTTAAAGTACCAAGAGAGAGAAATATAGAGAAATATACTGCAGTATATTATACAAGAAGCTGAAATCATCCAGTTGTCTTTCATTCAACTGTTCTTTGAGGATCTTTATCTTTTTTAAGAATGACTTTGTATCCTTCAGATGACTCAAATCAGCATCTCCGCTTGTGACACCCACAGCCCTAATTGGCTTTTCCATTTGGGCCTCAGCCCAACCTCAGGCAGCAGCTGTGTATGAAGTGCAGCAGGGACAATAGTTCAGATAATCTCTTGTCACTGTTTGGCGATTTTGTTTTCTTGTTCTTTCTTTTTTCCCTCCGTTATTGCTTCGTATTTGTTTTACTGTTTGTGTGCTGCAGCAGTAGCCCCGCGTCGGCACCTTTGTTTACTCGCACCTGTGACGGGGAAAGTTAAGCCGACTGTTTATCCGTCCACCTGCGCACACGTATTATTCAGTGAATATTAATTAGTATCAGTCCACTGTGAATACAGTACACTCTGACTGTGTTAGGATACAGTTGTCAGCACTAAGAGTAGTATTCTCTGTGGCTCTTCTGCTGACACCCTGCATCACTCAGCTATCTACAACCAGCCATTTGAGGGCTCGGTCGCTACGCTGTGTGGTAGCGAGCTAATGAGCACTGTTTTAACTACCAGTTTAATTAGCCCTGCTGCTGGAAACAAAAATGGGATTTCCATTAATCAAGAGTGGAGTGCATGTGGAGGGGTGGTGATTGTATAGAGGTGTGTGTGTGTGTGTGTGTGTGTGTGTGTGTGTGTGTGTGTGTGTAGGCTTGCCCAGGCAGTGTGCCATCGTAGTCTGTAGAGACCGCCAGGGCACAAACACCTCAAAACAACACACACATTATCGCGCAGCTCACACTCTCCATTTCATCACGATCGCACACTTCAACACATGCACAAATATTTTCAAGCAAACACATGCCCCGCTCACAACTTTGTCACTTAAAGGATTCACAGTTGTCTCTTTATAATCAAGAGTAAACATGTGTTTGAGACAGAGATAAAGATGTGTCTGCATCGCAGATGAAATTCCGGCAAAAACAGGATGGCAGGATTAGAGGGGGAGAGAAGCGAGAAGAGGATGGTGACTGCAGAACTAGTCGGAAAAGAGAACAGAGAAGACAAAAGCTTGAACAAAGAAAAGATTTAATCAGAGAAACAGTCTGAAAGAGAAAAGGATAGAGAAGACAAGTGGAGAAGATATTAAAAAGAAGAAGATGGGAGATTATTCCAGAAAACAGAAAGGCGAGAGATTTGGAGAAAGAGAGGAGGGAAGTGGCTCAGTGGTAGTGCCAGTATAAGGCTGTGAACACAGGCCCCTGTCTAATCCTGCAGCTCTGTGTTGTAATTAAATGAGAGAGAGCATAGAAAGCCTCCATCCCGTCCAGACGCTCTCACTGTTGCTTTGCCAGGATCAGAGGATAGAGGATAGACCACTATTGCATTTGTAATACTGCACAACTGTTGAAACCTTTTTTTTCTCCTCCCTTTTTTTTTTAGTTTTCAGCAGCTTTGTGCAGTGTCACTCTTTCTTTTGCTATTACCCTCCTCGTCAGTCTTCTTCGCGTCACGTCCACTCATTAAGCTGCAGCACAAATTAGTAGATCTGCTCAGCCCATGTTTAGAAAATTAAGCAAAGCTGGATGTCGTGTTTAGTTTTGGGGCGGGGAGCGGGAAATGCGTACAACTTTGTTAACCAGGAGCAAGAACGGTGTTGTGTTAACACGGGTTTTGCAAACTTCATCCTAAATCACACGGACGTTCGGATATGTCTGAATCATGCTTTTGCCACCTTCCTTTGGCTTAGCCAATAAATGTCTATTAGTCTCCACTTTTTGGACTCAGTCTCATCCTCAACATTTGGTATCAGTGGCTTATCTCTTCAGCACTACAGCAGGCCTTACACTGGCATCATTTGTACTAGGCTTAGCCGTGCTCAGGGAACTAACCCTTTCTCTGTTTCTATGACTGTCAGCGAGTTTGAGGAAGAGGAGGGGGGCTTTTAGTGTTTCAGTTTTCAGCTTTTCATTCAAGAATTTCCTCCGTTTTCTTTGATACTTGTTGAGCACAAACCTCTGCTGAAAGGCCCGAGGTCTTCCTTCAGCGTGCGGCGAATATGTTTAGACTGCCGTTATAATAATTTGCAATAGGCTCTTCCTGGCCGGCTGCTCGTGGATACCAAAACGCTGTCAAAGCGGCGTATTACTTTTCCCATTGTGATACTGTACTCTCTTTCACCTTTGCTAATCCTTCTTCCAGCTCCATCAGCGAATTTGCCCGAATGATTCTTAGACAAAACCTGAGATGCAGTAAAAATAAACAATGGCACAGAAGAAGCTTTGCTCTGCGCTGTAATAGGTTTTACATCTGTTGTACTGGTATGTTTTGTTTTTCTTGTCCTCCTATCTGAACACGTCGTATGAAGACTCACAGGAAGTTGAGCAGCAGTTTATTTTTAAAGTGTTTTTTTTTTATAAAACACATTTTTATAACATGCAACATGGGTTCATGGTGCTGTGTGGGGCTTCATCCTTGAGTACAAATCTAAAGTGTGGAGACGAGTATCCGTCCAATCTCTATAAGTTCCTCTTGACTGAAAGAGGCGTCTGATTGGTTTCAGATACATTTTGCTGTGCTGCAACAGATGTAACGGCCCCCACAGAGTCCTGATCTCAAATTCATCAACTCAGTCTGGGATTAAATGAAGAGACAGAAGAAAGTGAGGCAGCCAAAAGCTGCAGGAGGAATGTGGCAAGTTCCCTAAGACACGCTGGGAAAGTGTACTTCAAAAAAAAAGCGATCATACCAAATGATGTGTTTTGGCATTATTTTTAAAAGCATCGACAGTTTAGTTTAAGGTCCTAAAATGTTTGGAAAGTTCTGGAAATGTAAGATGCACATCGTGCACTTTCAGTGAGACTTTTCAGAGATGATGGTTTAGCTTTCGGAGATTGATTTTTAAATATAAAAATTATACAACAAGCTAGAAACCTTGAAATGTTTTATTGTGGAAAAGAAAAACATTTCTGCTGGGAGTAGTATTAAAGCTGGGCTTTACCCTAGGGATCTCAGCCCCCTCTTTACCTTAACCTTCTCCTCCTACTCTTCCTTCCAGCTTTCCCTCCCTCTGCCTCTCTGTTCCCTCCTCTTTCCTTCGCCTGCTGTCTGTACACCTCCCTCTCTTCTGCTCCATCTTTTGTATTTTTACTTTTTGGTCTCCTGCCACCCTGCGTTTTTACCCAAATCCCCCTTTCTTAAAAAATCCTTTAGATAACTTAAAATATACCTTTAAAAAACAGACGAGTGGAAAATTAAAGGAAAAAAACTAAAGTCCTTAATCCTACACCGAGGGTCTCGGCTGTGCTCGGATAGTTTGTTCCGTCACAGGAAAGCGACACCTCAAATTCATACAAAGTCGCTCTGAATGAAACATTGTTGACTGCAGTCATCTCTTCAGTCAGCGGATCTCACACCTGCACATAATTTTGCACTGACATGTTAGACGTCGTTATTCTGTTACGACTTCCAGAGACGTTGGAAATCAACGAAAAGCCAAATTGAAGGTTTTGTGGTGGAACGTGGTGGCGAACCAACACGTTACACAAAATCTTTGTTTGTTCTTGCTTTGGTTTGTCGCTTGTCTTTATATCTATAAGTGCTGTAGTCTGTCTTTAATTTTCCTCACTTTCTTCTTCCCCATAGCTCTTTTTTTCAGCTTTTTCCTTCCCCTTCAGTCCCCCCCCCTCCCTCGCAGTCTGTGCGGTGCATTTGTCCTTTGAAGTGCCGTATTCTGGTCTGTTCTTTTCTGTTCACGCCCCAGCACTACGTGCTGTCAACGCTCCTGGCAGCAGATAATGATCTCCCACTGCTTTTGTAATTGGCCAAATAAACACTTGACAACACTAGTTTAAAACAGACAAGTTATTTGGTTTTAATTAACATAGCAGGGCCTGTAATGGCTTCATTAAAAATGCGTTATTTCAGCTGCACGTTTGATTATGTTGGAAACGGACATCTTGAGGGCCTGTGTTTATTTTCCCTTTCTTTTCTTTCATGGCTGAGCGTTGCTTAGTGTCGCCTCCTCTGTTATCAGTGTTGTTTTATTCATTTGAATTAAGTGACTTACAATTGTGCTATTTATTTAAAACTTCACATTAAGTGCTAATTATTTTTTTAACTGTGTTGAGATTTGCTTTTCGATAAGGACAAAAAAAGGGGGGTGGGGGGGTTTATGGGTTTATGTTAGCCGATCATTTTACATCATATAATTTTTCATAAGAAAAAAGAGATAAAATAGCAAAGATTGCAGAAAAACACCATCTGTCTTTTTGTTCGGATCCTGGGTTTTTAAATGCGAGGATCCCCAGTTATTATATTTCCTCTTTAGATTTCGCTTCTGCACAAACACCGCTTATTTCAGTTTTTTTATTGTGTTAATTTCAGTATTTCTAATTAACAACTGGAAAATCTTTTTGCGGGCGGTTAATTAGTTCTGTTTTTTAAATTTTTTTTCCTTAAATTGCTATTTAGTCAGATGAAAATAATATAATATTTTAAATTAGGCAGACAGTTTTCCTTTCATTTCCCTGAATGATTTCTGAAGTGGATGATTAAAATTTATATTGACTCAAGGTTAAAAACAAACTGCAAAAAAGGGAAATAGATTGTGTCTGTCTTATGTATGTATGTATGAATGTATGTATGTATGTATGGCTGTGTAGGCACAGGAGAAGAGAATATGGCTTAGGCATAGCAGAGGAAAAACAACAGCTTTGTTTGTTGACAGATGCCTCCATGCTTATGGTCTGTTAATTGGATAACAATGTAAACAATCACCGATGGTGCCCGTCTCCTGTGTCAGTGTGGCATCTTGTTTCCCTACTTTTCCTTTTCCGAGTCAGATGCTGCTCTCCTCCCGCTTGCCTCTCCCCCGGCGCTCGGCGAGCACAAACTCTCTTCCCGATTTTGCTCGGAACACATACACTCACACATTCGCACGTAACCCACAGACGCACGTCTTCACGCGCACCTGCTCCACCCCGAAGCCTCATTTACTCCTACCTGATGCTGCGGTGTCATAACAGCCTGTCGGGTTCATTAGCATGGCAGCCATTTGTGAGGCGCTGCTCCCGAGGTGGGAAAAGGAATCCAGCAGCTTCTTTTTGATTGTTTTCCCCCACCGTCGGGATGGAATATGCTTGCTGAGAATGCACGGGTGGAAACAAACATATAATCTCTTCCTATTGTCTCGCTCTGTGCTGCGAGGCTGTCGACGGGGTGAGGGGCATAAAGTTGATGTGGCAGCCCCTCCCTGCCCGCACCGGGCTCTGAAGGATCCCGCTGAGAAGTCAAGATGCTAAATGACACCTTGAAATGAGGATAAAGAGATGAAAGGGAGTCCAAGGCCTTCTAGATCTAGTGTGACATTTCCAAACACCCATGGGAGATCGAGGACGTAGTATCTGATGCGGATTTGTCCACCTTGTCTAATTTAATTGCCTTGAATACTTTTTTAGTTTTGCGAAATTGGCGCCTAACAAAGATTTGAACGTGCCAATTGAAAATATAAAAATGTGTTTATTTAATTAGACTTATAATACATTTATTATATGCTCAGAAGGTGAGCACAGGTGATGCCGTGGTTCAATTAATGGTCAGAGTTCACATTTCATTGCCTACAAAAGTCTGTTTTAAATCTGTTGCTTTGCTTGTTGTGAGGCCGACCTTTACTGTGCTCGGCTTGCCCTCTGACCTTCTAGAGCAGGTACAGGGAGCTGGCTAATTATCCCACCGTGAGTTTAGAATAGGATCTCTAATCAGAGGGGCTGATGCAGCAGTGACCAGATAAGCCTCGGACACATCTCGGTGTCACACCGCCTCGCCCATTCAGCCCAGGTGTTAGATTGGCCCGATGTAACACAACCCCGCCAGTGATTAGCTCACATAAGCTAAGAGGCCCACAGGGGTGGTGGGTGTCAGAGGGAGAGAGTCGGGTTGTCCTGTTTTTAAAAACAGAGGTCAGATCTCCTTCATGTCGGCTAACTCGATCAGCTCCGCGGTGGGTGGTACTGCGTCGTGTGGAGTTTTCAGAGCAGATAAATGTTTTTTGCATTATGAGAAATGTTTCTGTTAAAGAAGAAATTACTCACATAAAATTCTTCTCTGGCTTCCCACTGCACTCAGTCTGTGTCTCACACACAGACACACACTCCTGTCCTGTAACCTTCATCAGTTTGTTCTGGATTGGAACCTTTTTAAGAAAACAAACCTAATGGTCCGCTTAGGGAAGCAAATCTCTCAATTCTCAGGTTACTGCTTAGGATTTTTAAAAACACGATGTTAGAATAATACACAACGTACACACTCTCTTGCAAACACACACACATTAAATGAATTTAGCACTAAAACCACACTGTTTTAAAGCCTGACTCTTGGGAATAGATGGTGAGACAGTCACACAGGGACTTCAGTGAATGACCGAGGCCATGGTGACACTAGTGTAGATAAATCTGAGAAGGTATTTTAAATAGTTTGATAAAATTAAAAACAGGGTTGACAGATTTGATCATTTTGTTGATATTTTGGCTCATTGAGTTGATTGTACATTAGGAGAGAAACCTTTAACAGCAATGATTCAGAAATGTCGTCTTTAAGAAGTAATAGTAAACAATTGCACGTTCCACAGTGTTACACTCCTCTGACACCCCTATTGGCTTTGCCAGTCACAGTGCAAGAGTCATGTGGGAGGCGCATGGCCTGAACGTCCATATTGTTCACGCTTGAAGACGTGTTCATAAAACCATTTGGGGGTTCACCGCTTTTGGCTGCTACAACTCAAGCTAGAGCTCATCATGCCCTCCTTGTTTGTGCTGCAGTCTTCAGTACTGTACTGGGCCTGGGGTAACTTTAAACTAAATTCACTAATGACCAAAAAGGCCAGAGTGCACCCCCTCACTCAGGTTAAGCTCTCCGCACAATAAACAGAAACCGTGGAGCAAAATAACAAACAAGTGAGGGGAAAACAGCCACCTAGCTAAACTCCAAATCAAATGAAACCACATTGAGGAGAGCTTTACGAGTGCCTGCAGCAGAAATTGGCTTCAAGTTAACGTCTTTGTTTCATGCTGCCGATCGTAATCGAGCAATCTGAGGATTGTATTTTGGGGAAGCTGTGATTAGTTTCTGTATTTGCAGCAATCTTTTGCTCAGTCTAATGTTGTCTCCTCCCCCCCCCCCCCCCCCCCCCCCCCCCCCCCCCCCCCCAAAACACCACCTTGTCTCTTCTCAGATCACCCAGCTTGATCCAGGGTCGACCCTGTTAGAGGCCAAGTTGTTTCCACAGGAGACGCTCTTCCTGGAGGCTAAAGAATAAGAACAGGCCCTCCGATCCCCGAGAGGTCCGACTGACTGACTGATGAACTGGCTGGATGCACACTCGTCACCGAGCATGGCCCCCACACATCAGTCTGGGCCTCAACTAGACACACACACACAGACACATACACAAACTACCATCTCAGACACACATAAACACACTGGCATGCAGATCCAGTGACACACAAGTTGAAGTAAGCTTCTCTGCCCTCAGCCTGGTCGTCGTACATGAATGCCTGATGTACACGTGTTGCACAGAGGAGCAAAGACAGTACCACAAGCACACAGCCAAAACATTCACCTCTACAACCCCCCCCCCCCCCCCCCCCCCCCCCCCCCCCCCCCCAAAAAAAAACCCTCCCCTCACACTCTTCTCGACTTCACGTTCCCAAACTGCTGTGTCATTGTTTTCTCTCACAACACAAACACCGTACAAATAACAGCATTCAGAGACTGAGTAGACAAATCTTTGTCACACACAAAAAAAACAAATAAAAAAAACAAGGACTTGTTTCCCGTTTCCTCATTGAAGACACCGAGGCTGCTTTTTTTAAGACATGTTTTTTGTGTGTTTGAAATTAAAATAGAAAAGGCTAAAAAATGTAATTAAATAAACTTCGAGAAGAGGCGTAGCTCCGCGAAGCCCGGGCCGTCTCCTCTCCATTTGTGTTTACCCACTGAACCTTTTCCCCAAACCGCCCTTCTAGAGCTGCACACCTCCGTCTGCTGTCCAGGTGGGGTTGGGACGCGACACGTCGGCCCCATCAAGCTCCGTTCTTCCTGGTTTCCGCATCCACTGCCCCAAAAGCCAATAGATTGCTCAGTTTTTAGTTTGTTTTTTTTCTCCTTTGAATCCTTTTTAAGTTTGATGCTGTATTAGTTTTAGTTTGATATACATTATATAAAATATATGAATATGAACATCAATTTGTCTCAGGCGAAAATCTGTTGAACCTTATCGCACGCATACACACGTCTTCTTTCGTCATGTGAGAGGATATTTTATAAACTGGAGATCTGATTTTCTTCAATTTGTGTCACAACTCTGGGGTAATACCGAAAGAGGGAAACAAAGCCAAGGAAAAATGTGCGGCATTTCTATGCTTTTATTAAGTGTGTGTGTGTCTGTGTCTGAACGGGATTCCAGTCCTGCTCTGATTGTGCATCTTCACTTCTTGCAGATACCAAAGTTTAGATTTGCACACTCACTCGTAGGCCTTTTACTTCTCCTATTATTCTCATTCTTACATGACCTGCTGAAATCAGCCAAACTGCGACTAATTTCCTGCCTTCAGCGAGGGGAGATCACACGGGCTTAGCCCTCCATCTGTAGCGGGGCTCCTCTGTCAACTAAAGGCAAAGTTTAAGAACCCCATCAGAGTCATAAATGCCATAAACAAACTACTTCAGGCGAAATGCTGCTCCCTCGTGAATAAGCGCTCAGACTTGGATTATACTCACACATATGTAATAAGACAGGACTAAAGCAGACTTGGCAAAAGGATTGCTGTTTAAATTGCAGTTTCACTGATTATATTACAGACTTTTGTTTTGTACTTAACAGTGGACACTGATGGGAACACATTTTGTGTTCCCACCAAACACCGCCTGTTCATATTATTTTAAAAAAAACTGATGTGCTTTTGGAAGCTGTACCTCTACAGTTAATCTTTTGATCGATGCTTATTTGAAGTGTGGACTCTGGTCTCAGTAGCACAGTTTGTTGTTTTTCTTTCTCTTTCAGACAATTATAGGACCTTGTGTCTGACTTTGACTATTTTTGGAGTGTGCATTAGTCTTCAGAATAACTGGCACCATTTCATCCAAATGGAGACCTTGGAGTAATATTATATATTTTTATTTCTTTGGATCAGAAGAGAATGTATTCCTTTGAGAGACTAGGGACCTGTCTGAGGTGTACCCTAGAACGGCTGGGAGAGTCTCCAGCAGTCCCCAAGATCTTCAAATGGATGAGCAGAAATGTAACATTTCTTTTCAAAGAGTAGTTATTACAATAAGAATATTAAAATTATCCAAAAGTTATAACATGTTACATCAGTCAAAGTGAAACTTACTGATTTAAACTACTTTTAGAGGAACTCTGTCTCTCTGAGGTGCACTGCAGACCTAGAGTAGTTTAAACCAACTTTAAGTGCTGGGTTAGATTAAACTATTATAAATAAGTGGAGGAAGCAACGTCTGTTTAAGCTATTTAGAGGTAGTCTTACTTCTGTAGGCTTCAACTTTATCCTCTTCAGTGAATGAGACAGTTACCGCTATGGGTGCTGTCTTTAAATCTTGTGCTGTTCGTGGTTGAGTAATACATGTCTCAAAGAATTATGTGTCACCAGCAACAATTTATAGTCATCTCTTTTTGCTTCGGTAAATCTGGACTACTGGTGTGTTACGCACGGTGAATATATCACACAAGCATCCTGTGTGTGTTTGTTTGCCTCTCTGTGGCTGCCTTGTTTCTCACGCGAGGAATGAGTCGACCTAATGTGCTCAGCAAGCCGCACTTCCAAAGGTTCGACCCGACAGGAGCTCCTCGCTGAAGGCAGCTTGAAAGCGGGATTGGGAAAGATGCGCTGCAGGGCAAATCCTCCTGACTTTGCTGTTTCTTTCTGCATGCCAGAGAAGTGTAATATTTGTCATCCAACACTGGGGGAAAAAGACACAACAAACGCACCTGTATTTAAAGTAAATAGCTGCTATTAGAGTGGGAGAGCTAATAGCAGAATCCATTTCAAGCCAAACTTGTTGAGCCAAAGTTGTGGCGCTGACTCTTGTGGCCAAGTCAGTAATGTTGGCATTTACTGCATTTGCAGCGCTGGGATATACTAGTTGAGAGAGAAGTAGTAATTATTATATATTTGGTTTTCCTTCTCCATATCCATGAACTCAACAACCTCTCAGTCCTGGGCCTTACACTGCATCCTGCCTAAACATGTGTTTAAAGCTTCATATGATTGGTCAGGACCATCCTGGTTGGCTTCCATTCATACCCAAATCTTGTCACGATGTGTTGTTGTAGCTGAAATGTTTCCGTTTAAACGTGAGGAGCTCGGTTCAGTTCAGGAAAAATGCTGAACTTTGCTGAAGCTCTAAGGGCAGAAGTTAAATGTCTATGGCTGACATTTGTGTTACTCAGATTTCACTGTACCGAGATAAGAGTTGAGTGCGCTGGCTGTACCAACACGTGCAGCTTGGGGCGAGGGTGAGCTCAGGGCGGGGCGAGGAGCTCAGTGACCGTGAAGCTGAACGTGTTTATGAAAGAGGCAGATGCACCTCTGCTCGTCTGTCAGAGAGCCTCTGCCTCAGAGAGGGGCGCACATAGTGCAGCTCCTCTCGACTGTGAGATTACAGTTTCTATCGTGCAGCTTTTTGAACGTCATGTACATAAGCATGTTCATTTGTACCGCTGTGGCTAATGAGGCTGCGAGGGTTGGAAATGCCAGTGAGGCCTAATGATATTTCTCTCTGGTACCTGACCAAACTTGTCTTAAGTTAACGGGCAAAAGTCACCAGGTTTAACTGGGGAGAGACAGCTGTATGAAAGGGTTTGTCAGCAGTTGAATGAGTCAAAAAAAAATGAATTAGGCCTCTGTTGACTGGCCACTTCTAACAGGAGGACAAGTTTATAAGGAGCTCTGTCAAAGGTTTTTGTGACTGTTTTTCTCAAGTCCTGAATTTTTTCCACAGGTGCTGCATCTCGTGTTTTACCCTTACATATTGTTCATATTCCATTCCTTCACAGTATGGTTCGTGTCTGTTTGACCAATGCCAAGAATTCCTTCCAAATTAGTGTCTACAACAAACTTTCAACTAGAGATCTGTCACTAATCAGGAAGACAGGAAGCAAAGCTGAAGATGCTAAAAGGTCTTCACTGCTAGTGACCAGGAGGGGCAGTATTAGAAAGAAGTGTATTAGAAACAAGTCGATCACAGGGAGAGCTCAGTTTGAGTCCTTTGGAGACAAAGTTAGAGAGACGAGACTGAAGTGTGTGGACATGTGCAGATGTAGTGGATATACTGCCATGCGGGAAGAAAAGATCAACACCACAAAAACATTTCAACTCTCAATGCAGAGAGTTGGCGTGACAGAGGAGGAAGATGGAGGCAGATGTCCTGCTGTGGCGACCTCTAAATGAAGCGGCCAAAAGAAGAAGAAACTTCCCATCTAACATTAATAAAAGGGCGAATAATCGTTAATTAATGTTTTTGAGAGCTGGCGGAGTGTAAGTGAAAATGGTAAGAATATTCTGAAACTGTTGGGATTTATTATATAACCACGTTTCAGTACTATAGCCATTCATTTCAATAATGGTTAACACTAAGAGCACAAAACCTTCCAACTGCAAACTGTGGGTTCAAAGCAGTGATGAGAAACTTTGCATGTGTTCCTGCACTCGATGATATACCTGCTCAGGTGCTTTTATAATCTCATGACCCTGATCTGAGTTTGCTCAGATTAAATGCAGTCTAATGAATTTTTGTTGCGTAATTTTCAAAGCACGAGCACCAACAGATGGGAATCTAATGTACTCACATTTATGCATCACTTATTTAGTCTCACTGCTCACACTGATTTTTAATTACACATTCATTCAAACAGCCCTTGGTTCTGTGCACTTCAAGCACTTCATCGACCTCACATCCACAGCCAATTTAGAATCGCCAATTAATCTGATGTGCATGTAAGAGGAAGCTGGAGAAAACCTGCAGGTACTTGGGAGCAAACTCCACACAGAAAGGCCCCAGCTGGGATTTAAACCAGGAACCTTCTTTTTGCAAGTTGACAGTGGTAATGACTCCACTATTATGCTGCTGTATTTCAGATCTAATGTCTGTATCACAGCACCATCTCGTAAAGCATCCTCTGACCTCTGTAGGACCTCTGTTCCTTCCTATTTTACCTTTTGTTGATTTGATCCTTCAAAGACCAGCAGGTGCTTTTCTCTGTGGGAACACAAACAGTTCTCGTGACATTGTCAAGGTTTCACTTTAACTCTGCATTTTTTTTTATGGGACAGTGGTGACAGACATGACAGGTGCAGTTTCACCGTTTTAAGATTCCCTAAAACTACAATTTTCCTTTATTCGACCAACGCTGGGAGAGCCAGCTCAGTAGACACAGGTCACATTTGACCAGCCTCAATGTACAGAAATTTGTAGCTACTGCACAAAATATAAAACTTTTAAATATTTTCATTTTTATATATTTAGGGTCTCTTGAAATGTTAGACGTTCCTTTGGTTCAGCTTCTCCAATCTGATCTTTATCACGTGACAGAAAATTGAACATCTTTAGGTCTCAGACCATGTTGAAGTTGTTCTTTCTCTTTTTTTAAGCATTACAGGCAACAATTTTTTTGTTAAAATAATCAGTAATCTAAATAATTCTATGTTGTTGCCCTGAAACACCTCTCACTGGGTTTTTGGGGGGCTACATTTTAGGCAAACTTTGGCTGGATGTCTTAATCAGTGTCTGTCTAGGCAACACCCCTTAAATCTGACACCAGCGGGACAAGAAAGTGTCTGTGTGGTAATGAGCTTACGCTGCCGTCCTACGCCGCCACAAAATCAGTGGTGGCAACATCAGGTTTCTGTCTTGATTCTCTGACCACAAAAGAGGAAAGCGTCCATGATGTTTAACCAGCTCCTTTGGGGTCAAGAATGCAGCCCACTGGCGAGGGAACAAAATTCCTGACACAAGTGATCCCTCCTCCCTCCTTTTGAAGTAGGACCCAATGAGATCTCAGAGCATGGCAGCTCCTTGAATCACAGGATCTTTGCCCATATCCCAGACTGGCCTAACCTGGAAGGTCACTCCGAGTTTACTTTCTCAGAGTCGCGGGCCCTGCCCAAAGAAACAGAATCTATGCAGCTTAAACTGTTGGGTGGGCACAAAAGGAGGGTCATCTCTCC